TCACACGGCAGAAGATCACCATCAGCAGCAGCAGCGGGGTCGGCGTCAGCCATGTTTCCCGTGGCAACCATTGTCCCGGTGGCATTGCACGTGCACAGCTGGCAGTCTTCCGTTGTGGCGTTGCCGTAGAAACCGGGCACGCACTGGTCGCAGGAGTAGCCGGTGGTGTTGTGCTCGCAGTCCATGCACTCTCCCGTGGTGGCGTTGCAGCTGCTGCTGTAACCATTGCACGAGCAGTTCACACACAGTACCGTTGGACCACCGGCGAACGTCTCGCGACGGTAGCCCTCCGCACAGTTCTCACACTGCGACCCTGGAGGACATCACAGGAAAGCACAGGCAACAGCTTGTTGCTTCACTATCAACGCAATCACAAAGCTGACAAGAACGGGCCAATAGTAAAAAGTCAATTGTTTGAATCTAAGACAAACACAGACATACTCGTGATGTTTCTCTCCACGAAAGAGCACACCGTACTCCGAATAGAACTTTCATCGGAAAATGACTGAAATCCGGTCATAGGAATTGACGCAAGCAGGCTCTTCCTGCCATTTTTTCACATGCGTTCTTTTTATGAGTACCACACCCTCACCCTTCTACAACACATCAGTTTTCTGGACCAGCGAAGTCCAAACGTACAGCATAAGATCCTCAATGGACCTGGCACAGGTCTGCAATCACATACAAGGACTGGAGATCAACACTTCGACCAGGGAGAGGGGGGGGGGCACAGGGTGATTGAATGTTGTAAAACTACCATACCTGTATACTCCGGTGGGCAAACACACGTCTCCATCCACGGCACACCTATGTCTTTAAGACCAGCTCGGTAGACTGCTGTTGTTGCCACTACGCCGCGTAGTGTAGCTATGGCCCGGCCGATACCAAAGCTTGCGTACGCCGTGCGAATGGCTATGCTCTCGACATTGCGAAGGTGAGTCTGGAACTCTGTTGCGGACATGGCTGGCGACCAATGTCGAGCAATTATCGGTACTTTGTACGTTTGAGACTGACGCTGAGGAGCGGGATCAAGTCTGAATGTGAGCTGAAACAAACAATTGGACAGGGAAGCTTGATGAATTTGGATTCTCCGTGTAATATGCACAGAGAGAGAGATGGTGCTGCCAGAAATGTTCTAAAGAGAACAGCTGGCCAGTGGTTGAATGTATCCGCTAAGAGAATGATGTTTTTCTCATCTCATAGTGATGTCAGCTAGCTCCTTATGTCCACAGTCATACCAACACATACACAGTGATATTGCATGTTATGTGCGTACACTCTCACGCATGTACACACGCACACATGCACACCCGTACACCCCCCCCCCCCCCACGCCCGCACAAACACGCACACACACCCCACATCCACCCACACGCTCACATGCACAGCGCATGCCCACTTCTACCGATGTCTGCTTGCAGTCTTGGACGCACACCCGCCACGACTTACCATTACATCATCGTTGGTACGGATAATGACATCATCCCCGGTAGCCGGCACAGCAATGGGGTTACCATGTGCTTCAATGGCAAGACTGAACTCCAATGCCAGGCCGTACATAGAGAGTAGATCACCACTGAGCAATGACGGTGGCAGCTTAATGAACACATCGCTGGTGATGTCGCCCTGAAAGATCTCAATGTACCCATCGCCAACGGAGTAGGAGCTGTTGGTGTCCGCATGGCCATCCGCCGACACTATCTCAATGGGACTGGTGCCAGGATCTAGTTCCCTGCCAAGTTCCAATTCACTGCCACTGCCAATGCCATTGTCAATGCCACTGCCAAAGGCATTGCCAATTCCATTACCAAACCCGCTACCAATGCCGCTGACCACAGGGTGCCTGTAGACGAAGAAGCTTTGCTCTCTCTGCAGATGGTGGACCAGAGTGCGCACAGGCCATGCATTAGCAACACACTTGCATCTCCTCCACACACCACTCACTTCACACAGCAGCACTACCCATGTTCCTGTATACGTGATGCACGGTATGTTCCACTTATGAGCAAACTAGCCGTCAAAAAAGACTCAAAAGCATACCTACAAGCAGATTGGTGGCCGGCTATTGAGCTCAAAAGGGGATATTTTGATGGTATAACTAAAAAAATTCACGGTTCGCGTGAGACTCGGCTGGAGGCCGAGTTTTGCGCATCCGCAGGTATGCCACCACCCTCAAGGATCAATGCGCAGATGCAGCTCCTAAAGTGGTATAGTAGCTAGGATGAGCATAATGCCAAGTATCATAAACGGCTTGGCCATCAGATGGAAATGAAAGAAATTATGCTAGTGCTGTTGCTACTGCTACTGCTGCCGCGGCCACCGCTGTGACCAATTCAACTACTCTTCTGTTACTTTCGGTGTTTTCTTTTTTCTTTTTCTTTTTTTGAGCCGGGCAGGAGGTCACTGACAAAAAAACATTTTTCTTCTGTCTTCGGCAGTTGCTGGATGTGAGCCCCCACCCCACGGTTCTGCCGCAAGGTTGGCACCACAAAAACTATCCCACCGCCCTGGCCGAAGTGCTACCCTCACCCCCACCATCGAAAAAGTAAAAAAAATTGGGCTTGTCCGGGATTTGAACCCGGGACCTCTCGCATCCGAAGCGAGAATCATACCCCTAGACCAACAAGCCGGTGTCTATCTGCAGAGGATATCCTGGTTCACAGATCTAGCACTGATAATCAATACATGGATGAAGTATGTACAAGGGCAGTGCTGCCCAATGAAATCTGATCGCATGAGTAAAGTTTGCGCCTTGCACCCGTGAAAATCCTAATATTGGGCCATACATGCTCTCAGCACCTCCAATTACTTCGAATATATTATTTCATATGCTTTGCATTCCTCCAGAGTCTATGTGAGCTGTGGCCAGCGAAAACCAGCACTTGTGTACTTGATATTAATCATCAAAATGTGACGTCAAAGTTTGGGACGCACAGTGAGCTGGCTTTTGAAGATTCTTTTTCGATCGAGTGGGTTTCTTTGTTGTCAAAGGAGTTTCAAGTGCCTTCAAGTGAGTCTGGTCAATTGATTTTAGCGCTAGGCGAGAGCTTGTCACACGGACAATCATTTTTTCTTCTCTCTTCGGCAGTTGCTGGATGTGAGCTCCCACCCCACGGTTCTGCCGCAAGGTTGGCACCACAAAAACTATCCCACCGCCCTGGCCGAAGTGCTACCCTCACCCCCACCATCGAAAAAGTAAAAAAATTGGGCTTGTCCGGGATTTGAACCCGGGACCTCTCGCATCCGAAGCGAGAATCATACCCCTAGACCAACAAGCCGGTGTCTATCTGCAGAGGATATCCTGGTTCACAGATCTAGCACTGATAATCAATACATGGATGAAGTATGTACAAGGGCAGTGCTGCCCAATGAAATCTGATCGCATGAGTAAAGTTTGCGCCTTGCACCCGTGAAAATACTAATATTGGGCCATACAATACATGCTCTCAGCACCTCCAATTACTTCGAATATATTATTTCATATGCTTTGCGTTCCTCCAGAGTCTTTTTTTATTATTATTCCACAATCACGATGACATAGTGCCAATAAGCATGTGATGCGGGCGATTTTAAACCGCCATGGTGGTCTATGTGAGCTGTGGCCAGCGAAAACCAGCACTTGTGTACTTGATATTAATCATCAAAATGTGACGTCAAAGTTTGGGACGCACAGTGAGCTGGCTTTTGAAGATTCTTTTTCGATCGAGTGGGTGTCTTTGTTGTCAAAGGAGTTTCAAGTGCCTTCAAGTGAGTCTGGTCAATTGATTTTAGCGCTAGGCGTGAGCTTGTCACACGGACATTAATTTTTTCTTCTCTCTTCGGCAGTTGCTGGATGTGAGCTCCCACCCCACGGTTCTACCGCAAGGTTGGCACCACAAAAACTATCCCACCGCCCTGGCCGAAGTGCTACCCTCACCCCCACCATCGAAAAAGTAAAAAAAATTGGGCTTGTCCGGGATTTGAACCCGGGACCTCTCGCATCCGAAGCGAGAATCATACCCCTAGACCAACAAGCCGGTGTCTATCTGCAGAGGATATCCTGGTTCACAGATCTAGCACTGATAATCAATACATGGATGAAGTATGTACAAGGGCAGTGCTGCCCAATGAAATCTGATCGCATGAGTAAAGTTTGCGCCTTGCACCCGTGAAAATCCTAATATTGGGCCATACATGCTCTCAGCACCTCCAATTACTTCGAATATATATTTCATATGCTTTGCGTTCCTCCAGAATCTATTGCATATCGCCCGCGCGGGAGCTTCGATATAACAGTGAATCGGGTTTTCCTTTGCTCGAGATAGCATTTTCAAAACGCAGTTTTACTACTAAGTAAAATTCAAAATTCAAATTTTGATAAAAGAAAACTGCCCCACACGTGATCCATCAGCTCAAACGCGGGAACTCTAGATTCTTCTTCACCTTTTTTCTTTGCTCGAGGAAGTGTGCAGTTGAAGTTTTCTGTTGTCTGAGATTTCGGTATGGATTCCCAACCTCAGAATGTTGTTTCGCTAGTCCAGCTGGCTCTTGACCATGGTCTACGCCCAGTCGCCCACTGGAGAGGTGTTTGGCATCCCTGGAAGGCCACAACACGTCGATGCCCGTGGGAAATCTGGAGTCCAACTCCAGGCAAGAGCCGCTGATGACTCGCGGATCGTGGATGATCGAGACGATGGTGCATGTACACCGGAAACAGATCCACTCCCGGTCCCGGTTGCTTCCCAATCGGCTGACTCCTCTTTGGCGAGGTCTACTGCATGCAGTAGTCAGCCCGCTCAGGCTTCTAAAGCCGGTCTTGAGCGTACGCGTGGTGGGTCCGTTGACGGCGACCTGATAAATAATCCCACGCTGCAGCCACTTGCTGCTAGGTCGACCTCGAGAGAGCCACCTGCCGCTTGGCACGGCGCTATCTGGAGAGGCGTTTGGCATCCCTGGAAGGCCACAACACGTCAATGCCCGGGGGAAATTTGGAGTCAAACTCCAGGCAAGAGCCGCTGATGACTCGCGGACCGTGGATGGTGCATGCACTCCGGAAACTGATCCACTCCTGATCCCAGTTGCTTCCTAATCGGCTGACTCCTCTTTGGCGAGGTCTACTGCATGCAGTAGTCAGCCCGCTCAGGCTTCTAGAGCCGGTCTTGAGAGCGTACGCGTGGTGGGTCCGTTGACGGCGACCTGATAAATAATCCCACGCTGCAGCCACTTGCTGCTCGGTCGACCTCGAGAGCCACCTAGGCTACGAAATCTCCCCTCAGACGCGAGTGGAGGTCCAAGAGGTCTGGCGCAATTAAGCCACCTGCCGCTTGGTACGGCGCTATTTGGTGTGGCGGCTGAGGATTTGGACTCTCAGTCTGGCAGCACACATAATCTGGTGTCTGACTGTGTAGCGGATGACGGGGATGAGGAAGAGAAAGGGTTTACCCTTCATGTCTCGTCCGAGACTGCTAAGTTTCTCGAGTCATGTCTTAGATCAGACCTCCGGCGCAAATCACGGCAGGCCATTTCCCACCGCTACCCTCGCCTGGACGCTGCAGCAGCATAAGTCCCAGCTTTGGATGCGCAAGTCGCCCGCATGGTATATTGTGCTGACAGGTAGCCGCCTCGTTCGGAGCCTCCTCGGCCGGATAGGGCTCAGTACCTGACACAGGCAAAGTTGTTGAACGTGGTGGGTCCGTTGTGTGACATTCTTGAGCACACCCCAAACCCTGACCTCGGTGAGCAAGGTCAGCAGATCCGGGAGGCTGCTACGGCGGAACTGCGTCTCCTGGAAGATGCTAACCAGGCACTCACCATAAAACGACGTTCCATCTATTTATGTAAGATCCACCCCAAGCTCTGTAGCCTAGCCACCGCAGATTTTGCTAACCCTGGAGGTTCGTTATTAGGCCCTGCCCTGAACGAGCAGATAACGAAGCAGGCGGAACGGACACGGCTTGGGCTGACGTACTGCGGAAGCTGCCGCCAAGTCATGCCCATGTGGCAGGAAAAGACAGATGGGCGTCACGATTTGGACAGGACCAGGGGACAGCGACAGCAAACACCACAAGCCTTCGGAGGCTTCCCGTGAGCCGTTTTTTCGAGGGAGCGGAGCCCGCAGGGCCGGGTAGACCTCCGCAAGCTATGCCCCTCACCGTCCACATTGCTCCGGTTTCTGGCTGAACTCCAGGCAAAACCCTTGCACATATTGCATGACTTCTGGTCCTCTGGTCAGCTGAAGCCAGCATCTGGTCTGACCACCAATTCGGCAGCTCGGATGTCTCCGGACCTTCAAGTCGGTTCAAAGGGCGTTCAACCCGAGCCGCTGCATCGTCGACGGCTGGAGCTGCTGGCCTGTCAGCTGATGGGGTCATGCGCGCCGTTGGCTGGAAACAAGAGTCTACGTTCCGGCGCTTCTATCTCAGAAATCCCATGCCTGCTGCTGTGCCAGCATCTACACTGCCCTGATTTTCAATTCAGGGAAAAACAATGCTGACAGTGTGCTTGTTCACCTATGTCATGATGGTGTGAATATATGCAAACACATACCGTGACTATGCTGTACTAATCCGTTAGTTACCTGCGTGGGGTATGCATTACTGTGCAAGTAATCTACGGGACAGCCAGTGTTAGCGTCTCGCCAAACTGGATTTGGATTTCGTTCCACATGTTGGTTTTCGTGTGGCCACACAGTTAGTTGGTGTTAGGCCCTTGTGTTATATTCCAGCCTGAGTGTTCTGGTTTGCTGCGTCATAATTATATCACTGACGCTCGTAGTAGCCATTTGTGCATAAGATAACTGTTGCCACGGAGGCCGGTTGATGTGCGCTGTGAAGTATACACTGTTATATCGAAGCTCGAAGCTCCGATATGCAATTGCCCATTTCACAAGCAATGATGCATTGTGATGTGAAGTGGGGATTGTATGAGGAGCGGAGAGCGGAGATATAACAGTCGCACCCTGGTACCCTCCCAATAAGATCTATAATGCGCTGAAAAATGGGTGAAGAAGAAGCTAGAGTTCCCGCGTTTGAGCTGATGGATCACGTGTGGGGCAGTTTTCTTTTATCAAAATTTTGAATTTTGAATTTTAGTAAAACTGCGTTTTGAAAATGCTATCTCTAGCAAAGGAAAACCCGATTTCGGGTTGGTATACACTGTTATATCTCCGCTCTCCGCTCCTCATACAATCCCCACTTCACATCACAATGCATCATTGCTTGTGAAATGGGCAATTATACTGAATGTCACAAAATCACAAATGCTGAAGTGCCGGTGTATGAGGAACTACTGGATGAACCTACCTTGACATATCCGGAAGTAGCTGAACACTGCGTGCTGTGTCCATGACAATAGCATGGCTTACAGCCCTCGACCAGGTCTGCGTGAAGTCCAAACGTACCTTCCGTGCATTCATCACATTTCAATGTGTCCACACTGGCCTTGCACGGGCAGACACCGGTCTCATTACACTGTAGCGTCTCACTACCCGCCACATCGCACTTACAATCCCTGTGCAGGCAACCAGTGAAAATAGTGCAATCACAAAAACAGGTGTGCTGTGCGCTATGCGCTGTGTATGTGTGTGTGTGTGTGTGTGTGTGTGTGTGCGCGTGTGTGTGTGTGTGTGTGTGTGTGTGTGTGCTGTGTGTTTGCGCTGTGTGTGCGTGTGCTATATGTGTACGTGTGTGTGTGCATGAGAGAAAGAAAGAAAGGGAGAAAGAGAGAGAGAGAGAGGGGGGGGGGGAGGGAGGGGAGTTCGGCACTGATAGCTGTTTCATCTCATCTGCGTCATACTCACAAAACCTTAGCATAATTGTAAACTGGCAACGAAACGACCAAAAGAAGACTGGCTCACTAGCTCTAAAACTGTGCCTGCACTGCTTTAACATCATGAAATGACACGGTCACCATTGTAATGGTTTAGCCAAAGGCATTAGTGATGTGAAAAAGTGTACCATACAAACACTTACTTGCAGCCCTCGCTGGAGAGGTAATGGTTGTTCTGAGCGCATTCTGAGCAATCCAGAGCCACCACATCGTCGATACAGTAGCACTGGCCGTTGTCCTCGTTACACGATGAGTTTGTAGCACCCAGGTCATCACACTCACACGATACACAGCCACCGTTCTCCCGGTCACGTCTGAAGCCATCAATACAGCTACTGCAGTTGGTGTCACTGGCCGTGTCCACGCCATTACGGCACACGCACACTCCAGTGTGCACATCACAACCGTTCGGGTGAACGGTTAGGAGAGGGTCACAGTCACATTCTGTACATTAGAACACAACAAGTGACACAGCTACATATGATCAGGATGCATAGTGCATCATGTTTCCTATGTAAGGGAACTCCCCCTTTCAGTTATCAGTGTTTTCCATGCCTAGGGCTGTGAAGTCTCATTGTCTAGCCCCCCTGCCTCCCCCATCCACACACTCACCAGTACCTGATCCCCCACCCCACCCGCCAACAGCCCCCCCCCCCCACCCGCCAACAGCCCCCCCCCCCGCCACCAGCCCCCCCCCCCCCCATCCACACACTTACCAGTACATCCACTAGGTCCAAAGCTGTGATAGCCGGGCATACACACATCACACTGTCTGCCAGCCACACCGGCCTTGCAGGGACACTGGCCACCGTACACCTGACAAGCTATGACACTGGAGCCATTCGTCGTGGATGTGCTGTTCACACTACCGACTGCATTGCAATCACAATCTGCGCACGAACACGGTAAGGGGAGAGAGAGAGAGAGACAGAGAGAGAGAGAAAGAGAGAGAGAGAGAGAGAGAGAGAGAGAGAGAGAGAGAGAGAGAAGAGAGAGAGAGAGAGAGAGAGAGAGAGAGAGAGAGAGAGAGAGAGAGAGAGAGAGAGCGAGAGAGATACTGGAAGATTAGAAGGCAGTGCATTGGGCGACCAACTCCTACCAATAACATGCGTGTGAGGTACTTGAATTCCAATGCATACACCCATGACTGACTCTTCTGCGTAGAAGTCCCCCTTGCCATAATTCTGAAAGTCCCGACACTCCCCAGAATCCCTTCCAAACGGTGCTAGGGACACAAGATGTTATTAAGAATCCTATGGTGCCCAGAGAGCATGTCTCCGTAAGCTGGTTGTGGTCTCATGGTGGTAGCTTATAATTATACAGGTCTGCAGGCATGCTGAAGTAGGGTGTGGTGCGTGAGATGCGACTGGCCTCTAAAGACAGGTGGTCACTTAATGCAGGTGGCCACTTAGTGCAGATGGCCACTTAACACAGGTGGTCGCTTAATACAGGTAACACAGTATAGTGAGAGGCCACAGTATGGCACTGACCTTGCACAGTCTGCATCTGCTGAGCTAGTGCTGTCTCCATTGCACGGCATTCCTCCAAGTCAACGCCGCTGTTGCTCTCCGACGAGCGCAACTCAACACAATCGCCATGGGTCATGTTCGATACGCCGTCAGGCATGTGCTCCAAGAATTTCCAGGACGGTATCAGTAGCACGGAGTCGATCTTGATGCTGCTGTTGCCGCTTGCATCCCCACTTCCAGCACTGATGGCATTCAACGATAGTCGGTACGTGATCCCAGAGCGAAGGCAGGCTTCTTCCTCAAACTAGAAATCACAAAAATGCAGATGGACCCAATGAGGAAATGTCGTCGAGCTTCCCTTATAAGAAAGTTGAAGGTCTTGAAAGTCCAAACACAAAAAAGGTTCAGAAACTTTGCAACCACCACCATCACAACATTGCGCGTTAAACCGGCCCAGTTGATATTGTATGTGCTCACACCACTACCAGAGTGACTTTACATCTTAAAACTGCCAATCTCTGCCACAAAATATCAAACCCAAGCTGATGCAAAAGGAAAGGATTGTTTCATGTCGGTCAATTTTAACTTTGAAACATTTTAGAGCTGCTATTGTGTGATCCTGAATTACTGATGTCCCAGATTCTCACCTCGAGTCAGAAGTCTATGGACCATGCTGGAAAAACTGAGGGCCCGCACGCTGAAACAGGTGACCCGCAAACTGTGTATCCAATCGAACCCAATTACTAGCATTGCATTATATTTAACTGGTAAAACTTGGTTCATAACAGGAAGTTATAGAGGCTGCATATACTAGTAGAAAGGCCCCAGAGGAGAGGCTCATAGTGGTTGTGGGTACCGACTCGTGTTTTTGAGGGTAAAGTCTGCCAAAAAATTGTGGATATTATAGTGAAACCACCTTTTGGAGGAGGATCAACCAATGGCAAACCTGTGTATCTGCCAGGAGACCAGCCAATGGCAACATAGCTCATTTCGTAAGCATGAGGCACAAAGGGGTTCACCACTATGCCATGGACAAAATAATGTTGAATGCCGGCATCCCCTGGTGTAGTTACTACTTCAAGTAGTCAGGTACATATAATAACGCGTACGAATTTGCAAATGAGTGATCATATGTGACATACCTGATGTGTCTGTGGAACACCGGGCACAGGGTTGTGAAAGTCCAGTGTCGCCGAGCTACCGGCCTCTACACACAGTTTGGGACTCGGCGGTGGCCCTTCTCCGTGAGAACGCTCAAACACCAGCGACGCCTGCCTCCAGAACACCTGGTCGTCGAGTAGATAGCGCACCACAATGATGTAGGGTCCGCTTACTGGAACGGTGATGGGACTCCACACGACTGATCCCGGACCTGCTACCTCCAGACTTCCCGACCCGGTGACGTTGATTCCGTCATAGGTAGGGGTGACCCCGGCATCCGTGTCGTTGCTGAACTTACCGATCTCGCCTTCAATAGTAATATGGTCCAGATTTGGTATGAATGCAGCCGTGGCTACCTGGTCACATTTCCGTCCAGTCAGCAATGCCTTGCAGCGGCACTGTCCGGTTTGCTTGTCGCAAGTCGGTGACAGCGATCCGAGTTCGGAGCACTCGCACGCCTGACAGCCAGCATCGTTGTCCGCATCCAGGTTCCAGAAGCCGTCGTGGCACGTGTTGCAGGAGAGACCCATCGCATTCTCCTTGCACCGGCACTCTCCGCTGATATTGTGACACACCAGTGAGCCCTCTACTGTGCCGGCCGCTTCACACTCACAGTCTGTGGCCAAGGATGAATGGAACAGCACACAAAACATAACAAGAAAACACACACACACACACACACACCATGCCAGTATGTTCACACAATATGGACCAGAGCATATGAACCATTCCAACATACCGTGGTGTCTTGTCTAAAAGCCTGTTTGAATACAGGCCTGATTGTCAAGGTCCATTGGTGGCATATGAGAATGGTTCTTGTGCTAATAGCCTGACATGCATAGAAATACCTAGTTCCAATAGAAGCCTGAACTTCAAAAGAAGCTTGATCACCTATCCAATAGTCTATTATATTAATTATTCTAATCTTTTTACATCTTTCCCTCGAGTGGGTCTATTGTTATTAGGCAATTGTAGCACTGACATCAGCCTCTACAGAAGTAATGCCGGCTGTTGTACATGAAATTTCAGTACTTGTGTGCTGTATGACGAAGGCAGCCACGGGATCTTGATTCAGGCACCATGCCATCTAAGAAGTAATGCGAGTAACTGTCATGTGACCCATCACCACACAGTAAAACAAACAGTCTCTTACCCATGCATCCGGTATCTGGATCGCTACCGAAGCCGTACGCATAGCTCTCACACAGCTGGCAGTTGTCGCCGTGCGTGTGGTTCTTACAGGTGCACGCACCACCAACCTCTGCACAGCCGTTGCTAACAGTACCCTCGGCCACACACGAACACTCTGCACAGTACACAAAGAACACAAAGAAAGGATAGAAGCAATGTACTAGTACTCTGGAGCTCAATCACACAGTTACAGCTACCGTAGTTTAGCCTTCTCACTCACGTCCTGATACTACAGTGACTTGAAGCATGGGTTCGACCGCCACTTCTGAGACCATTTTACGTTGCTGGGTCATTGACACAAACACATAGGTTCCTTTGTAGTTGGATAACGCACGTGAGTGAATTCTCAACTGCAACTGTTGCGCAACCGGCCAATGGCAGACATGTGCCACCATACAGTGCTTCAAGGATGATCATGTTCACTGGCTCGAGGGAAAGACACAAACGGGAAACGTCTGAAGAAAAAATTGACTGTCACCACCAGGACTCGAACCAGGGACCCTCGCTTGTAGCCAGCGATGCTCTAACCACTGAGCTAGGGTGTAGTCAATCCGTAGAGAATACAAACAAAAGACTAAGCTCCTCCAATAGACAACGTGTTGAAAAGTGAAATGCGGGTGGGCGAAAACGTGGATAACCAAAGTGCAGATAAGAAAGGTGTATACCCGAAGCGCAGATAGGCGAGGGTGACTGCGCCAGGGTGTGTTCTAGCCACTCACCCAGACAGGGATTTCCTGGTAGCTCAGGTGCACTGCTCAGCGTGCGATAGAAGTCGGCTTGGCAGCGCTCACAGTGAACGCCTCGCGTGTCATCCCGACAGTCCTGGCACACGCCACCTGATGTGTTTCCGGAGCGTTCATACTCCGTCATGTTGAATTCACAGCGCTCAGTGTGCCCGTTGCATTCACATTCTGTCATACGCAAGCAAATCCAGTGTATTTAGACGCGAGCAAACACAAGCACACACACACACACAAAGTGACACACAAAGTGACACATCCACCGCATACTGGTACAACTGAGCCGCCAAAATTACATAATCATGGGATCTGTGTACAGGAACTGTTTTGCACTACCATATCTGATCTTTCAGATATTTTACTACAAGGATTTACAATGGGGTTTGTTTATAGGTGCTTCATGCTAACAAATAATTGAATAAAAAGAAAATGAGTTGGAGTGGAAGTGATAGAATGCTGGCATGTCAGTTGAATCATCACCAGATGCATAGGTGAACTACTTCGGTTTCCGTGCCAGATCACATCTGAAGGAAAGATGAGAGATGTGTCCTACTCAAGTACATTATGGCCGGAATTGAAATTAATTTTATTGCTCGTCTGGAGATTTCCGGACTGGCCATACCTTTACCGCCGGCAATGAATTTTCTATTTAGACGTGTCATCTGTAAGTTGTAACTGCCGTGCATATCTGGTCATGCTAGTGTACTACCATAGTGTGAACTACATGTCAAGATGTACAGTGTACAGCTGAGAAGTTGGATGCCACGTGTCACATGATGCTTCACCAGAGTTCACACTCGCATGGCTTTCAGAGACGACGATTAGAAGGGCGCATGATTCGGGATCAATTCATATTTTTGAATCAAGTCATGAGTTTCAGTAGCGGCGCACTGCTTGCTTCTGGATCCTTTGCTACTCTTGCAGGGTGTCTGGAGCTGCTGGAGCTGCTGATTGTCATCATTTGGCACCCATCCAGTGACAGTGATCTCTACCAAGTATCATCTCTTTCCTGTACTTGCAGATCTACTCCTAGCATGGGATAGGCATGGGCCTGGTATGTGAGCATACTGTTCGCGCCGAGCTACACAACTTAATGCACTGCGCTACCCACCCACCCACCCACTCAAACACTGGTGAAACCTTAAAAGAACGATTGTCTTTATAGGCCAAAAGCGCATACGCTTGACGGTGTTCCTTGTAATGGGGAATTGGCAGTTTTGGAGCAATGGCAATCGTCTTATGTTTTCAGTAGCAGCTGTTACACTATACTTCTGGGGTACATATTTAGCAGGTGCACACCCAGAGCACGTACCTGCAGCTGCACTTACAAAATGGCTGTGTTTGAAACGGCCGTAGGGAACTACAATACATGACGTATCAGACTTGTGAAAGTATACTAGTGTGATCTTGTGTAACAGACTTTGGCAAGTATGCTAGTGTGATCTTACCTTTGCAATCACCAGCATCCGTGGTGCTTGCAGCTCGCCATGGCCGGTCAACGTAGAACGGCAGGCACTGTTCGCAGTCCGCACCCATCGTGTTATGCTGGCAAGCGCACTGCAGGCGTGCACGCCCCGCGTCATACTCACACCGGTCGGAGTGGCCGTGGCACTGGCATCGTGCGTCTACACTGACGTCCTCCACGGAGTAGTAATAGCAGCGCTGCGTTGCCTCTCGTCCCTCCACCTCGTCGCCAAACGTTCCCATGCGATTGAAGTGTAGTCGCAGGTCAGTCACTGTCACCCAGTCCCGCAGTGCAGCACTGTCGCGGTACTCATCCGGACTCGAGCGGAACAGCAACGGGTTGAACTCAGCTGCCGCGCCGTCCACTGGCACTCGATCGCTGTATTGTGACGAGCATAGGGCCTCCCTGTCTCCAACCATGACCGTACCACTTCGTATTGCGGGCAGGGAGTTTCGAAGGCCGTACGTGTCGGTACACGACCTGGAGAAGTACTCGTACGGCGTCCACGTTTGTCCGTGGTCCGAGCTTTTGTACAGCACCCAGGACTCGGGCCGGATCGAACGGAAGTAGATGCGCACATTTGTCAGCTCGAAAGCTCTACCTAGTGATATTGTCAGATTGACATCATGCTTCATATTGTCGAGTACAGCCATGGACTGACTCTGCCACCAGGTCCTCCGTCCCGAAGGTTCGTCCAACGTATCACTGGGAGGATGGAAAAAGTGTCGATATTCCGCGAGCCTGCCCGAACTCTTCAGATGCTGGTTGTAATAGTCGATGCTTGAGCACTGCTCGGCCTCTAGTTTCTCTTCCGGTGCCTGATTGTTAGTCAGTCGACACAAGAGCTCCGGATTAGTAACTCCACACGTGTTACTCGCCGACGCAATTGCATTCTTCGTGGCATTGACGCGGGCAGGAAAACATGGAAATGACCAACCGCTAAACTCGTCAAAGCATTCCGTCCTTGCTGCCACTGTCGGAGGCGGGAGTCCTCCGTGAGAAACTTCAATCAACGTCGCCGTTACGACCAGCAGGCAGCAGGCTCTTGTCCAGCGGATGGCCATCGTTAGTGAGAACGGGCAGTAACTGCTGGTACACAATTACCGTCAGTTAGTGTTATCGATGTCCGCTTCCACCTGGCCTCAATCCAGTCTTCGAGCACACACACTGTACGCCACCACTACAGCATAATAATTATTTCTATGCAGTGTCCTGTGAACTAGCGAAGAGGAGAAACTCGTGCTGGACTTTTTCAGTCACCGCTCCGCAAAGGTAAACTTCATTCAGTCACTGCGGCCACGCAGCACGAAAATGGTAAGCGCAGGTGGAGGGTTCAGATACGCGGACAGCACACGCTGTAGATCTATGCGTCTTGTGCTCATCGCTCTTTCTGGTGCAGGCCTCTGGGCCTGAGAATGTGCCAATGGTGAGGCCATCGACACAGCAACAACAGCAAACGAGCACTCGATTAGCAGCGACAGCTTGTCGTATCGTGGTGCTTTACCCAGACAAGTCAGGCCAATAACAATTTTCACAAATCCACCACATGCACAGTCCACTGCATCATTGCAGGCGCATGGCCAGAGCCTTAGCCAGCCGAGGTGTCCGAGAGTTCGCCCGACAACCACGGAGATGTCACATGCCAATCACTGAACCAGTGCCCATGGCCATGGGCATGGCGCAGCAACACTGATGGGTGCATGTGCAGTCTACAGAGTCTGCCCCCAAATGTATCAAAGTGCGAATGTACTGACATCGGCCACTCTTTTGCTGTGGCTGACAATCGGACCTGGCGAATGCTTGAAGTTGAAGCACGGGCCAGACCTGGCGAAATCCTCCCGATTACGAGCAGAACGTTTGAATGAGCAATAGTTCTTCCGCGTCCTTTGAGGATTCTCTATGATTTCAACCTCAGTCTGTGTTCTCTTGTAAATGCTGAAATAAGGGATTTGAGAGCTGGAGCTCACTTTTGTACTTCTTCAACATAGGGTAGACAGTAACGTGAGTTGGCGCTAATTATAACAATGTTTGCAGGTCACGCCTATCGCCTGCGATGCGGCCTGGTGACTGCTGCTGGCGATAAGCACACACCATGTACATGATGTACATTTTAGTATTGACTATCACATGCACAACCATGATGATTGTATTCCTACCTCTTTCCGCCTGAAATCGACGCGTTTGACGTTACCAAATTTCGCACTGCAATTTTTCTACCCTTCTACTTGTAGTGTGACCATATTTTGTGCCTTCAACTTCAAGCAAGACTGCCATCATTCATAGGCCTCATCATTATGGAATTTATGCACATAGTCATTACCGTATTATCTCTAATATAAGCACGGTCCTTTATTTTTTCAATGTACCTCCGCCCCGTGCTATTATTGGAGACGTTCCTTTATTGGAGACTGTTCCATTTCTAGCGAGGTTTTGCATTCCGATTTTCGGTTCAGCGTTCTTCGGTCATTTGTCGAACATCAAAATGTCGAATTTTCGCACCAACGTTTGTTTTTGCAAGTCGAAAATGATGTGTTTTCATTTCGTGAGCCCCAGCATCAGCAACGTCCCGTCCCGTGCTCCTCTTCTTGCTGATTCCAACGAACTTTGACCGCCCAAAGAGTCGAGGGCCAAACCTGCCTCCTCAGTCGCCTCAGAAAAATCAACTCCATGGCCAAGTCAAAATTTAGACGCGATATCGCCATAGTCTTTTCAGCCACACAGATGACGGTGAGGACATTCCAGGCGAAAGAGAGTAGACAGGCAGTGGAGAGGAGCAATCAGAGGTAGCTGACGATGCTGATGTCGCCAGAGACGCCTGTGAAGCGATGCCGAGATAAGAAACATCTTTGAATAAATCACGCGCTAGCGCTCTTGTACAAGAAAATTCATCCGAAAAATATTTTCGGCAAAGTTAGCTTTTTCCGAACAAACATGCCGAATCTTCGTGTGCATTTTCGACCTCGCTCCCGCGTGCCGAATCTTTTTGCCGAATTTCGGAATGCAAAATCTCACTATTATTTCAACCTCATTTCAGAGGCTTGTTGCCATGCCAAATTCATGTCAGACACACATTTCAGGGTTTTTTCGCCGGTCCAGACTGATAATGAATTTACACAGTGTGCTTATAATGGAGACTGAGCACTTTATTTTTTGAATGCCGCCCCAAGGTGTTCTATTATTGGAGACGTGCTATTATTGGAGACTGTGCTTATATTAGAGATAAAACGGTATGTGACCTACGGTATAATTGTATGAATGATTTTACCATTTACACAAACATGATAGATGTTACCAAGTACATTTACCAGGCTCAGTACAACAACAAAACAATAACCTACCATAGTGGCATGGAACAGGCGGCGAGGTGACAAAAGTGCGCGGAGACAATAACTTTAATAAGGCAATAAGCAGAATCAGTGTTCGGAAACTGTATTATCCATCTTTTATTTTCGTTCATGACTACGTCCAATGTCCGCTTCGCGGATTCTGCTTATTGCCTTATTAAAAAGAAATAGCTATGATGGAAATGTTTGTGAAGAACAATAATAGGAACGATGAAAAAATATATATAAAAATGCAGCGAACTAGCTTTCGCACGACGCTCATCAGGAAGCATCGTTGTATTGATTAACAAATTGCAACACAGACCATTATAAAGGATGAATAGTGATAAATAACACCTAAAGGTCCTAAACAATGCCAAAACAGTATCACAAGGTATTCTTGCAAGATACCATGTGCGTGAAAGATAACAATCAAAGGGATAAAATTCAAGTTTGAAACAACACTAACAAAATTCTGGCCCGGCAAGGCTCAGCAATAGCAACAGCGGTGACGGTAGTCGATGGTGACTTGACAGCAAAGCCGACACCACAGTCCATCAATATCACAGATCATGGCAAACCAAGGAAGGATCTGCCTCCTCAGTCCTTAACAAACGCCAGGCATACGCCCCTGCCGGATCCACAACCATTTGACCAAACTTTACCGGCGTCAATAGCGGACCAGACTACAACAATAACTTATCAAAGACCAAGACGTTCAACTGCTAATTACAGTATGAACTACGCTACAGGCAAACAACAACGACACAGGAGGAGACTCAGCGTGACGGCAACACTGGACATGATCGCCAACGATGAGGACGATGACGGAAACTGCACTGACGGTATCAGTGAGTTGAGTGAGGGAGAGAGCGTGGGTATGGGAGAGCGTGATAGTGAGTGTGGGCGTGTGTTTCCACCTCGTAAGTCTTCTGTGCAGTACTACTAGCAAGAGTTCATAACCCCCATGAGCTCTTGCTACTAGTATAATCATTTGGTATCTCGTCCTGAATGTTGCCAAGTGTATTCTGATCCATGTTTCTCCGTTTTGTATCGTGGACGTCATGATTATGATTATGATTATTGATCATTTGGTATCTCGTCCTGAATATTGCCAAGTGTATTCTGATCCATGTTTCTCCGTTTTGTGTCGTGGACGTCATGATTATGATAATTATGATTATTATTACATGATTATGATTATTATTACAGGTGAAAGTGTTTGGAGGCTGTTTTCCAACGCATTCATAAGCCTGACCTTTGTGTTCAAAAGGAGAGTATTATCTATTTGAAATTGTTCAACCAGTAGAATGTTGTGTTAGTCTGGGGCCTTGCCGGGCCAGAATTTTGTCACTAGTGTTGTTTCATACTTGAATTTTGTCCCTTTGAGTGTTTGATTGTTATCTTTCACGCACATGGTATCTTGCAAGAATACCTTGTGATACATAGTTGGCATAGTTTAGGTGTTATTTATCGAATTATCACTATTCATCCTTTATAATGGTCTGTGTTGCAATTTGAACTTAGAAGTTGCGACTTCGGCGGTAATAGTCATGAAGTTGATTGTTCCAACTAGGAACACACGCTTCTTGCCGAACTTGACACTTGACTGACTCACGACTGCCATCCGGAGCACACGAGGAGCACGTCGCACCTTCCACTCGGCAAACCTGCAAGAAAGCACCACTCCCTGCTCAATACACGGTGTTTCGGGGAATTCACCCCTCATCAGTTGAGCTTGAGTAGGCTGAGGAAGATTGTGCCTGAAAAGCACCACTTATATACTGCTCTCCAGGCCAAACCATCACCAGGGATACAAACTTACAGAGACGCTTTGTTTCCAGCGCGACAAACACCTCGTGAAGCTCCAGGTAGCAGCGTGAGTCAGAGTCGCTCATGGAGTTGTGATAAACAGACGTTGAGAGCCAGTCATGATAGCTATTCGCAACGCTGTCACCTCCAACAACTAGTCGCACGTCCGCGTGAGGGACAACAATACGAACTTAGAAGTTCGAAACACCGTGTATTGAGCAGGGAGTGGTGCTTTCTTGCAGGTTTGCCGAGTGGAAGGTGCGACGTGCTCCTCGTGTGCTCCGGATGGCAGTCGTGAGTCAGTCAAGTGTCAAGTTCGGCAAGAAGCGTGTGTTCCTAGTTGGAACAATCAACTTCATGTGTTGCAATTTGTTAATCAATACAATGATTCTTCCTGATGAGCGTCGTGCGAAAGCTAGTTCGATGCATTTTTATATTTTTTCATCGTTCCTATTATTGTTCTTCACATTACATTTCCATCATAGTTATTTATTTGTCCATCACCACTTTCTCTAGAATTTGTTCGTGACATGATTGACATCTCAATAAAACCTTGGTGAAATGACGCTTCAGCTGGCTCTGTTTATAGTGGCATTGGGTAATCATACTCCACAGTTTCAAGTAGTTTACGGTCCGGATATGTTCGAAAATAACCATCATTATATACATGTAATACAACCACACGAGTCACAGAGTACCACGCGTCTGGATTGTTGTCACTAATAGTGTCATGCCAGATGGCAATCTTCAGACAACTGATAACAGGATGCACAGCTAGTATGGTATTTATACACTGGCATAGGAAAGAATCTGTGAAGGTTTGAGGTCTGGTGGCCCCTAGTGGTGGGTGCAAAAAGTCCTGGAGGGAAAATGTGCCAAACTCCCATAGTCCGTGAGTGAGAAAAGAAATATGATATGGCAGGAAGGCAAGCAAGACTGTGTGAAAGAATGATAATGATAGTGTGGCTTGCCTGCAATCACAATCATGCAGGACTGCAGGTGCAAGATGCCGCACACTTTGGTAAGTGCTTCAAATAAGTTGGAGGAGGGGAGATACTTGCCCTTCAAGGTACCAACAAAACAGGTGCAAGGTACAAAGTTCCACGCGCTGTGATGGCTATAGGTGCTTAGAATAGGTGAGGAAATGAAAAGAAATGACCATGACGGAGTCACGTGACTTGCAACTACATCATCCATTTGCACCCATCTGCAGCCCTTCTAATTATGGGTGTAGTATCTTGCATAGCCTCGCTTGAAGTCGCGTCATCATGGTCATTTCTTTTCATTCCCCTCACCTATTCTAAGCACCTTTGGCCATCACAGCGCGTGGAAATTTGCACCTTGCACCTGTTTGTTGGTACATTGAAGGGCAAGTATCTCCCCTCCTCCAACTTATTTGAAGCACTTACCAAAGTGTGCGGCATCTCGCACCTGCATGATTGTGATTGCAGGCAAGCCACATTATCATTATAATTCTTTCACACAGCCTTGCTTGCCTTCCTGCCATATCATATTTCTTTTCTCACTCACGGACTATGGGAGTTTGGCACATTTTCCCTCCAGGACTTTTTGCACTCACCACTAGGGGCCACCAGACCTCAAACCTTCACAGATTCCTTCCTATGCCACTGTATACATACCATACTACAGGTCTACTCTCCATATAACGTAATCTCTGGGACCACGCACAAATTATGTTATATCGAGAGTTATGTTATGTAGAAAACCGTGGGTAAAATACAAGATGTACCTCAAAATGAAGGGTATTGCAAGGCGGGTTTAACCGTGCAAACATAAACACACTGTACCACCATCGACATCAGATACCATCAATGCTGCAGAATATATGCACAATAGGACTAAACTGGCTAGCTACGGCTACAGCTTGATCGTACCGCGCACGTCAATCTACGTTGTATCGAGAGTGCGCACGTCGGGGACCGCGCCACAGGGTGCGTTATGCCGAGGTTTACGTTATGTAGGACTAAACTGACTAGCTAGTAGTAGTAGTAGTAGTAGTATTTTTATTTTCCATCGGAAGCCTCAACAGTGATGAACACAACTCTTAAGAGGGCCGATAACAGAGTAGAGGGGTGTGGGGTGAGAAAAAATAATAAAAATAATAAGAGATATTTAAACTAAACTAAACTGATAGCTACAGCTACCGCTTCATCGTACCGTGCACGTGAATTTATGTTGTATCGAGAGTGCGCACGTCGGGGACCGCGCCGTAGCGTGTGTTATGTCGAGGTTTATGTTATGTAGGATTATGTTGTGTAGAACAAAATTTGTGTGGGAGTGATGCTGTTTCGGCGCGGGATCTGATTTTTTTACTTACTAGCGAGGTTTATGTACAAGTGAGAGTTGTTATATCGAGAGCAGACCTGTAACAGTTAGCTGTGCATCACTGTTATCAGTTGTCTGAAGATTGCCATCTGGCATGAAACTATTTGTTACGACAATCCAGACACGTGGTACTCCGTGACTCGTGTGTTACTGCTCTGCTTCCGCATTGAGCACTCTATCGAACCGGAGGACTCCGCTCTATATAATACGGCCATGTACACACGTACCCCTGGGCCCTGAATAATCAGTGTGAACTACATGATATTGTAGTAGTAATGGCGCTATGGACACCATGGCTGCGGCAGTGTGGACGTCTTCTCGCGACTTTCCCCGAAGACTCCCACTCCTGCCGGCTGCCCCCGTTTCCTGTCGCCATTTTGTAGGTAGAATTACAGAAGCCGGCCTAAACTGTATTCGTAGCGTAGACCATGGTGGCAAGAGTGAGTAGGCTCCCAATTATCTTGATCATGATCATGATGTGCTTGCTTCAGAAGGAGTCTACTCCACTCTGGGTAGTACAATATACACGATGTGGAAGCGAACTAATTACTTACTTCGTTATGTCTAGAGCAGGACAGCCACGGCTCCCCTAGCTCCCCCTAGACGCAAGCTGTCAGACTGAGACAGACGCCCAGGTCAAATACGTAACGACGAGTACATGTACATGTACCTACAAAGTTCATGTAAAAACTTAAAAGTGAACCTGTCAGCTCCACTGGTACTGACTACTGTGTGCACAGTTTGTAGAGTAAACATGGTAAAAGGTGCGTAGGCCTATGCAGGCCGAAAAGTCGGCCTAGTGTGAACCAGGTATTAGTTCTCCCAGTGAGCCTTTCCCCAGCTCCAATCGAAGTACAATTCAGCATAGAAAGGCATAATAATAATAGTTGAAAGCAAACAATGAATTTACAGCGAAACGCATAGTCCGTCTGTAGGGTTCCCCACCCAAAATACTAATACATGTACTACTAAAGAAGTTTAAGTGCTGTTGGGACATGCATACACATGGCGCTGTGCGTTTCGTTCATGCCTTTAGAACCTTTGTCACCTTCACCTTCTTTGGGTCTGCCACTTTACTATGTGGAAAGTGCACAATTGCACCACTCTTACCCTATAAATACATGTATATCCATTCCTTTTCTGATATTTATTCGTTAAACATCATCATTGCATGAGAGCCAGCCCTTGGTTGGTGTGAAGGCAGTCATTGCCTGTTCGCTTGACGAAGTAAAATGAAGAGTACCATCCCATGTTCCTTCACTGATGAGCTCTCAATGAGCAAGACAGTTGTCTGGAGGATATGCATCATCTATCCAAGAACGAATTTCCTCGCCATGTTGTTGTGGCTAGACCTAGGCAGATTCTGCTCGAAAAGCAGGGGAAATGGCCGAACCATACAAACATTATCGCAAGCACTGCCTTGAATTCTAGTCCATTTCTTTCTCCGCATACCACATATTCATGAAACATACCAAAAAAGAAAAAGGACAAAGGAATATAAATTAATCACCCACTTTCTTAACATTGGCCGGTGTTTCCACCGAGTCTTGAGATGTTGTATTATCATCCTTGGCTCTCCATCCGAGTCCATTCATACCAAAAAAGGTGCGAATTCTGCCAATTTTTCTGCCAGCATTATGCACCAAGGGGCAAGGGCTAGCTAGACTAGGGTAGAGATTGGAACTGGCAGACAAGATTCAACATAATTATACACTGGGTCTACGCCTGGGCGGCTGAGACTAAGGCTTAGGTCGTTCTCAATGGCAATGTAGATCTACAGCCTAGGCAGCCCGGATGACTGTATTGCTCGCACTCCAATAGCAAACTGAAAGTGCATGTACATATGCATGTGGTTCACTAGTTGTAAACCCATTGTGTCTGGTTTCATGCATGATCTAGACGTATCACAATGATGGACGCTGTGCATTTCCTACCACAGACTCGCTACATGTAATTGCCTACAATCCATCCATCCAAAATAGTCCTGCTGGCTTTTGAAAGCCTAATTGTGGTCGAATTGAGGCTCACAACCCCACTTTAGTTTGTTTTCGTGATATCCACAACTCCATTCTAGAACACGTACATGTATGTGGGAGACAGCAAAACGCTAGTGTGCCAGTTTCCAATGAATGGACTGTAGTTTTGCTGCTACATGTACATGTATTATGTATATGGGGACAGTATGGATAATTACCAGTACAAGTACATGTATCCAGACTGACATGCGCACCCTATCCCCGACCCCGACTCCCGAGCCATAATGTTTTCTTTCTTCTTTTTACAAAATAATAATCACACGCCAATCGACGGCATAAAAGCAGCAAGGCAGCGATGAGACCATACAGGCAGTGTAGTATTATTATTATGCTGAACTGGCAGGAGTGGGTACTCTGCATATCCCTCCGACATTGCATGCACTGAGACTCTAGGGACAAGGGACTCTTTGCATGACCTCTGCCCTTGGCCTTGCCCACTCTCACGCGACTCAGAACCTAAAATGGTCATAACCATCATAACCAGCAGCCTTGCTTCACTCCGGACTCCCGTGATCATTGTGCACCATAGTGTAGAGTCCTGAGTCCTGACACCAATGATGTCATCTTTGACTTTATGCAGGTGTGCGTGACTATAACATGGTATTGATTTTGTAATGACTTGGGTAACCTAAGGTATCACTATGTATATCTACCTAGTCTTTATGTTATGTGACCAACTTTTACCATGATTAGTCTGTTGTAATGTATGATCCTGGGAGCCATAGCCCAGGCCAGGGCCAAGCATACGAGCATGCTTGGACTTTACTAGTACTGCTAGTGCAGCTGCTTCTCCTCCCTTCAGTGCAACTGTACTGTAGGTACATGTAGTTGTATCGCATCCGCTACAGCAGGCATACCCTTATCATGGCTATCAGCAGGAATCTATGATACAGTGACTGTCAGGCCATCCTGTCATCCTTTCTTATCAACTGAAAGATCTGAAAACTTACTTCAGTAGTGCTAGGAGTAACTAACTCCTCAGCAGGTAGAGGAGGGGCAGTTGTTGTGCCAGATCTCGGGTGTATGTGCCCGGGTGGAGACTACAAACACAATCATGTACCGGCTCCAGCACAGCAGACAGTGTCGGAGCTCTAGACTCTAGTTCTAAGTAAATCATAAAAATAATGCTAAGTACTTGTAACTAATAGTTTTCCAGGAAAGACGAGATAATAACCTGATAGCAATCATAACTATGCTAGATGCTCAGATTCGGAATGTGCGCACATGCAACGTGCGTGCACACACACGACACAGCAACAAACTACGGGCATTACTCATTCCGGAACAACCTGCAGTCAAAATCCCATAATATGGCCACATCCATAATCATGCTTCTAATGCAGGATCATGAATAACTCGTTGACAAGTCAGCTGCTTGCAGAACGTGATCGCAACAAATGTGGCAGCAGACACCACTCATCACTCACCCGACCATGTCCATGGCTTTACTTGTGCAAACCGAGCCGTCTGCATACTGCCTTATATTACTGGACCACAGCACGAGTTGATATCTTCCGAACCTATTTTTCGTCCAGGCGTGTGCAGGTTTTCGAAGCACATCCACAACAAGTTGAACCTCGTCAGATCCCATTTGTGTAAACAGACAAATCAAATTTCACTCCCTGTTCACCAAGCTTTTCCGGCATTTACCAGATTTTACGGTTACCAACACAGCGCTAATCTTGTCCTGCTGAGAGGAAAGGCGAATCGCAAAGTCGTTTATGACCCGGGACAAAATAGCTGAACTGGAGTCAAACAGCCGTCGATAGCCATTACTTTGCGGCGCACGAGTTCTCTGTTTTGTTGGATCACCGTCCATCCCATTGTCATTGGCCTATCTCGCGTTCTGGGACTTCGTTGGGTAGTGGCGGTAGAGGGGAAGCGGAGATAGCGCTAGGCAGTCGTGTGAGTTTGGGAGTGTCCCACCCCATCATCATCATTGGCAGCGGCAGCGGCAGCAGCCATGACTGAGGTGATAAAACAAGGCTACTTAGTCAAGTCGCCACCTTTGTCGGAAACTGGCAGTACAACGATGAAGGTGAGAAACTGCCCATGACGATATTCTGTATCATGGTGTTGTGTGGTGTCCCCGTCGCGGTCACTTCAAGTGGTCGTCGAACAAACAAGACGTTGTGCTTCCCGGGCCCGTTCTCTGAGCGTCCGGTGTGAAACGAGGAATCGATTATTGTTGTATCGACTGGGTGTTAGTGATGTATAGATCTAGTCTACAATGTTTGTAGAACGAGAAGTCGTGAGAATAGCACGGATTGAGTGAGGGTGCAGCTAGCTTACCTCACAAATCGTCCATTACTAATTTAGTGCGGTGGTTTCGCTCAATCAATGGTGAACTGGCGTGCACTGTGGGTGTCACACTCTGCGAGTGTGAGGTGTCCGTGTGCAAAGACACTTGTACTGTCGTTCTTGCTCTTGCCCGATGTTGCTAGCACGAGTGACTAGTGGCAGAGAGATAACTTCCTGATGTTGCAGCCTGTTTCACCAGTTCCCCAGCTAAACCCGAAGATGTACATGTGTGCTCTGAAGTTCCCCCTCGAGTTTGGTTCTTTTCCCCGGTTTCAAGTCCAGCCAGTTGTGGACGGCTGGGACTGGCAATAGTGGCGCTGATACTATAGTCGCCACACAATTCCATAGAGGCCACACTGTCACTGTTGAGTGTTGTGCATGTGAGCCTGCCCAGTGCAGTGGTTGTGGGATGCGTGCCTGATGCCAATGCCAATGGCAATGCTGAGTGAATGTTCAGTCTGTTGGACTGGTACGGTAGAACTGCCGCATGCATGCTGTCCCCATGTTGTACTACAGTCATAATCATTGTAACATGGGAGCATGTCACCAGGTTCGCTCTTTCCATGGACCCTAGCTGCTGGTCCACTCAATTCTAACGGCAATGACATCATGAGGGGTGTCAGAAGGCATTCTACATTGGTACAACTATGAAAAGGTGGACCTGCCGCACTGGGTCTGACGCCGCTGATAACGTGCTATCCTTGGCCACATTTTGTCTACTTTTTAAGTACACATGACCAATTACCGTATGATGCAATCTAGTTGAGGTTCAAGTGCCTCAGTCAACCAGTTCAATCTAAATGGTTTCCATTGTTGAATGTGTTGAATACACTATTGCAGGGTTGGAAGCGTCGCTGGTTCATCCTACGCAACGACCATGGAAAGTATTCACTGCAATACTTTGAAAGCGAAGGTTCTGCAGCTGGCGGTAAGCTACAACTTACAAGGAGCCGGACATTGTGAAACACTCAGCGTAGGCTGTAAACTTGTGTAAAGTCAGACACATGACTTTGTGCCGTTGTGTGTCCTTGCCATTTGTGTGAATAAAATAGGGAGCAGATCGTGGTTGAAGGTGGTCTGAATACTTTCCGAATAGAAGCTCCAATTTGGCTCTTCATTTATTCCGCCTCAAATCGTATTTCAATTCGTATTTATTAGATTCTCCAAAGGCATATGGATGCTTATCGTGGGAGTCTCTATGTCTATCGACATCCCCTAACATTTCTGCATGGTGGTATACAGGATATGTGAGCGGTGTGTATATCCATCATTCGAGAACAATACTGCATTGCACTGGTCGTGATACTGATGCATAGTGGGTTTTTGGAGTGAGGTGTGTGTGTGTGGGGGGGGGGGGGGAGGATTGGGTCATCGATACCAGTTGACAGGATCGTGCACCGTGTCGACTGCATTGTGTTTGCGCGTGTGCGTGTGTGCAGGCCAGCAGCCTAAAGGCACCATCTTACTGCAAGACTGCACATGCGTGCACAGTGACATGAAGCACAACAAACACCGGAACGTCTTTGGCGTTGCCATACCAACTCGCACCTATTACATGGCCGCCGAATCACAGTGAGTAATTTAACAACCATACTTCTAGGGCGGCTCAGGCCTAGCTATGCTGAGTAGATCCCGTGCATCTCTCACAATCCATGCTGCTCTTAGACAAGTATGCATGTAGATGTGGTTCTCAGTGGTGATAGTTGCATGTATGGGGGGGGGGGAAGGGGCAGAAAGTGGATAGGAAATTAATACATCACGTGACATGATGTGTCCGACAAAGCCCTTCCATTTATATTGTATGTACTACCGAAAATGCCTAGTGCCCACCATGGTCTAACGGTATTAGCGTCTGATGAGACGATACGACATCATAGCACTGGTACTCACGGCGATGTCCGTTTTGACCCCGGATTCGGAAGTTTTAACATTGCCCATGGTCTATGCAGCTCACATTCGTGGTTGGGGCCTTGACCTGCTGATTCCAAGTGCGGCCCAGAGCCGCCGCGATGCCATATGCAAACATGTCACGGTAAATGAGACCTGCCCTATGGGCAGGCCGGAGCAAAACCCACATTGTCTCAAATTCCAGTCGTCGTGTGATCTCCTCAGAAACTAGTACTGCCTAGCATGCACAAGATCAGAATTATCAAGCAATATCCTCTACACACTTGAGGGGAAGATGCCGACGGGAAAAGTCTGAAGGAAAATTGACTGTCACCAGCAGGACTCGAACCAGGAGCTGTCACCCCAGCAGAGACCGTTCAACACTTTCTTCAGACTTCTCAGTCTATCTTCGACCACAGTAGTGTGTTTCCGTCCATATCCTCATGCTGTGCTGTTGGCCGTGGTTCCATGGCATGCATGCAATTGAAGGACTGGTTCTGTGTACCTGTTTGTAAGTCTGACTGTACACATATGTCTGGGTTTGTTGGTGTCTGTTTGTGTGTCTGCCTACCTGTGCACGAAATGTGTGTGTGTGTATATGTGTGTGTATATGTGTGTGTGTGTGTGTGTCCATGTGTGTGTGTGTGTGTGTATCTGTGTGTGTGTGTCTGTGTGTGTGTGTGTATATTATGTGATGCTTTGAAAATCTCATGTGCACAGGATGGAGATGGACGAGTGGACAGCACTACTATGTCGGATTCTAGGTTTTGCCAAGGGACAGATGGTATGTAGCACGGGCTCAGGTGAAATCATCTATTCCACGTGTGCTGCTACACTGCTTGCAAAACGATGCTGGCCCATACATGTACAAGACTAGTGTGTGTACATAAGTCCATGCAAATGTTTCCACCATTTCTTCACAGCCGCAGTAAATACACATGGAGCTTGAAGAGCCGGGTTCATCCAGCTGCGGAAAATACATTATTCTATTCTCGGAAGGAACAATACATTGCCTCGGTATTCAAGATGGAAACACTGAGCTAGTTGTCCGACAATTGTTTAACTTCCTTGTTCTATGCTCACCCGTAGTGGTTGTCTTCTATGATGTGTTTCTTGGTGCTTTGTGTGTGTGTGTGTGTTTGTGTGTGTGTGTGTGTGTGTGTTTGTGTATCTCTGTGTGTGCCTACTCACTGGGCAGATGACTCTAGCACGTAGCACAGCAGCGGATGCCATCTCACCGGTCATGGCCGTCGACGACAGCCGGGCAACGTTTGCAAAGTCACGCTCAGCCAGTACAGCGACGATGCCAGTAGCAGCACCCAGGGTCAGTACATTGCAATGCCAGCTGCTACAGATTTGTATGACTTACGGTATCCAGTCTAGTTAGTGCCTGTATGGGGGAGTACATGATCGTGAGCCTAGGGCGAGGTACTTGTGATGTCTTTTAAATATATTCATGATTGGTTGATGCATTGTAAGACGTGCAGGGACATACTTGAAGTACTGAAAATAATCATGGTACCTTATTTTTGTTATTTTAAGTTCATCTGATGTGGCCTGTCTGTTTCTCTTCTGTAGGGGACGTTGCAACGTACCAAGTCAGAAGTTTCTTCCTTTTCAACATCATTGCCTGTAAGCCTTGGACACCACACTTATAAATAGCTATAAATAGCTATACATTACACGTAACTGGTACATGTATGCATAGGGGAATGCATTCACTTACTTCCTGTAGAGCTTAGTGCGGCCAGTGATGTCAGTGGTGTCAGTGCCTGACTAGATTGGACCACTGGGCCAGACTAGATTGGACCGCTGGGCCAGACTAGATTGGACCACTGGGCCAGATTAGATTGGACCACTGGGCCAGACTAGATTGGACCACTGGGCCAGACTAGATTGGACCACTGGGCCAGACTAGATTGGACCACTGGGCCAGACTAGATTGGACCACTGGGCCAGACTAGATTGGACCACTGGGCCAGACTAGATTGGACCACTGGGCCAGACTAGATTGGACCACTGGGCCAGACTAGATTGGACCACTGGGCCAGACTAGATTGGACCACTGGGCCAGACTAGATTGGACCACTGGGCCAGACTAGATTGGACCACTGGGCCAGACTAGATTGGACCACTGGGCCAGACTAGATTGGACCACTGGGCCAGACTAGATTGGACCATTGGGCCAGACTAGATTGGACCACTGGGCCAGACTAGATTGGACCACTGGGCCAGACTAGATTGGACCACTGGGCCAGACTAGATTGGACCACTGGGCCAGACTAGATTGGACCACTGGGCCAGACTAGATTGGACCACTGGGCCAGACTAGATTGGACCACTGGGCCAGACTAGATTGGACCACTGGGCCAGACTAGATTGGACCACTGGGCCAGAGTAGGAAATAGTCCAGAAGAGTATGTAACCGAGAGTGTACGGCTCAGAATTCTCTCGGCCTGGAACAGAATTTTTCGTGACATCAATCTTTCGAGACCATAGGGCTTGAAAGTGCTACGTCACAGCATAGCAACAATTTCAAAAATTCAAAAACTGGATCCACTTGGATCCAGTTTTGTATGGATCCAAGCACATTTCAAGCGGTCTTACCCACAGCATGGTGATGTAGCCAGTGAAACTGACTGATTTGGCTACTGGGGGCGGGGTTACAACTGGTGGCGAAATAAAAGTCACACCTGCATGCGACATGAGTGGGTTGCTATGCACCCACATGCTTTGGCAATAGCAAAGTCACACCTTAGTGGATCCAAGAATAGAAATCTGATGTCAACTTACTACTCCCTGGCCGTTTTGACGTCATCACTTTCATGCCCTATTGGCTCACTGATGCCATCATGGCATGACGTGCCAGAGATCGAGAGCGCGAAGAACGTGTACGCCGCAGCTGCGGCGGTCGGAACAAGACAACGAGCGGTAGATCCACATGTCCTGAACCTGACCAGCTGACACCATATCTACATGAGAAGCGTGGGAAAAGCATACACATTTGATCACATTTCGGCTGAAAACAATGATTCAATTAGAATTCCATCATGTTGTGAGTCCATTGCAGCTCAGTCACGATAGGAGCTGCACACTCGTGTTGCTACCATCACATTTCCCCAAAATATGTTGTATCTACTTATACGTAGGTCGCATCTCCATTTTCAGGTCCCCGTAGTACCGTTCAATGTATGTCCTTTCAATGTATGTCCTTTGAATAATACGGTACACTTGGCTATAGGCACGTCCCACTCCTTTGGCCTGGGAGGTTATACCGTGAAACCTGCGGCTTACTAATACTCGGCGGGGAGGTCTGTTTCAGGAATTCCTATGCTACGTTCTTGTGCTGGCACTGTATCTAGGTCCCGATTGCTGCTGGTACGGGAGCATCAACACTGAGAAGAACAAGTACAGATTCATCACTCAGGTAAATGCCATACACAGCAATCATTACAGTGTGCATTGAGCGCATAGTTCAACGCCACAGCATTAGCAGGGAAAAGGAGAGTGAGTGAGAAGGGTGGGGGGGGGGGTACAGCCAGAGACAGAGAGGGCCAGAGAAAGAGACATCGATATGACAGCAAGAGCGTAATTTCAACGTTGCTTTCCTTCAGACTACGCATGGTTAATTAAAGGGGAAGTTAAGGCAAAAATCAAAATTTTACCAGTTGTAGTCTTCGGGGTGCTGAGTCGAATGGTCTTGGTCCGAGAAAGCTGAGACGCTCCCTTCCTACTTGAATCCCAATCGAACTCGCGCACTTCCACCGAAACTGGATGACTGCGCCCTACTAGATGGGGATTTGTATGCGGTAACGTGCTCCTGGGTGCCCAAATCACCTGGTCACCACCCCAGCAGGCGACAACTTTCACACCAAGGTTCAACTCGAGTTGAACTCGAGTGACAGGACTGCTCCCAAAAAAGGTCAAACAGGCTAGTAAGTTGTACCCTGCAGGCACGGTGACCAGGTGACTGGTGTACGCAGGAGCACGTGACCGCTTGTTCAACCATGTTCGATTGGGAATAAAGGAGGAACGCTGCATCGCAGCCTTTTCGGACCAAAACAATCGACTCAGCGTCCAAAAGACTACAACATATGGGCCAATCGCGGTCATCCATGCTTTTATAAGAACGAAATGGCGCTTTTAGTGACATTTTGCATACAAATCCCCATCTAGTAGGGCGCAGTCACCCAGTTTCGGTGGAAGTGCGCGAGTTCGATTGGGATTAAAGTAGGAAGGGAGTGTCTCAGCTTCCTCGGACCACGACCATTCGACTCAGCACCCCGAAAACTACAACTGGTGAGATTTTGATTTTTGCCTTAACTTCCCCTTTAAACAGCAATATCTCCGAGTTTCACCTTGTAGTTTTTTACTACCACTACTACCTCCCAGTGAATTACTTACCGCATTTACCCTTTGCTCTTGCAGTCCTCCTTCAGAACAAGTGTGCTTGGTCAATCGTGAAGTCATCGTGAAGGTAGAGAAGCGCTTTGCAATGCGTTCAATTGCGTTTGTTGATGCAATGGATGGTGTGTGGTAAGTGCGGAGGACCTCCGGTCACAGATATGATTTGACATGATTGCTTGCTAGCTTACTAGAACTGAATATTGCTCAGGAAATAGCTCAGGCCCAGGAAATAGTTAAGGTCCAGAGTTGGTGATGCCAGATGATAATCAGTGCAATGAGTAATGTTGCTTATCACAACAGCTTGCAACTGTTGTGAAACTCACCTCTGATCATATTGCGCTTGCTTTTGGGGGTGTCCAGCATGGACTTGAGTGACTCGCCTGGATCCTTGCAGAAAGAACAAAATGTTCATGTATCTTTTCTCTGAAAACCTCCACAGCACTTTGGCAAATGGGTGGTATGGTATGGGTGAGCGGAGCGAACAGACCTGTTTTGTCTTGCTTTGTCGATGAAGCACCTGCATGCATTCCATGGTCATGCCACATGGTCTCATGATCAGTATCACTGGACATATGTCACATGACCTGATTCCCAGTACCCATGTGACCACCAATGCCCACTTAAAATAACCTTGCACGTGACTCGTGACATCACCAAGATCGTCCCAATGTTGTAAATGCCTTTTCTCCACTTGCTACCAGTCCCGTGCCATCTCCAAACTTATACATTTAGACGACGATAACTACATTGGAAAGACTAATGCAACACCAACATAACATTGTTGAATTGCTTATGGCTGCACTACTAGTAGATGGGAAATTTGGTCTGCATCAAAGCTGTATTGTTTGTGTCGTCATACCAGGATCGGCGGTTGGAACCACAATGTGCCGGCGTTGAGCGGCCTGTTCAAGTTTGGTGATCAAGTGCTGAGAGTGGGCGGACAGCCGGTGGTGTCGGCGGAAGCGGCTAACCGGGCTATCGACTGCTTCACTGGCGGCGGAGAGGTAAGGAAGGTCGGCGGAGGGCTGAGGAGCTGCATGCTTCCAGCATGTTTGTGAAAACTGTGTTGAAAGGTCTGCCTGATGACAGGACCGGAGGGCTGAGGAGCTGCATGCTTCCAGCATGTCTGTGAAACTGTGTTGAAGGTCTGCCTGATGACAGTAGTGTTCACACATACATACAGTCAACTTCGCTTATAACGACACTCGGTGGGGCATCAGAAAAGTGTCGTTATTCACAAAGTATCGTTTAATAATAATACCCGAAGTCTCATTATATGTATTACAGTTGGATGGGACTTTGCTCTGGGCATGAAAATTGTGTCGTTATTCGCGAATTGTCGTTATATCCGCAGTCGTTATTAGCGAAGTTGACTGTATACATGCGTGTAACAGTCCATACATGTACATGTGAACACTAGATCAACTGTCACACGCATGTGTATGTATTTGTGAACACTACAATGACAGGACCGGCAGAAGCAGTTTGTGATTGGTCTGGCCATACCCTAGGCTTTCATACGGTTTGTGTATGATATGGAGGGTAACTGGTATGCGCATAACCTACTCAGCAGTAAACACACGTTGGTGGCCAAACAGTTGGTCCGGCCATGGCCTGACCAACCAGACCGGTCCCATCAGGACTGTCCGGCCATGGCCTGACCAACCAGACCGGTCCCACCAGGACTGTCGGTGATGGTTCTTTTCTTTGCCATTATTCAGTTTAGTTGTTAGGTCAACCATGGTCAACTTGAGACTGGTATCCACGCCGACGCTAACTACATATTATGTATATCCATGTTGTACTTTGTTCATGTATGAATGTGTACAGATGGACATTCTGCTACTAAGAACACCCTGGGCTATGGAGGTGGAGATACAGAGACGATCACGCAGCGAACCTCTTGGCGTGAGCCTGAAAGAAAACAAGGTAAATTGGAGTTTCTGCAGCATTCGCCTGCATCTAAATAGGCTGTTGTGGCTCACACTAACGAGCTCCCAGGTAGTAGTCAATGGACGTGTTATGTGCACCACAGCTCAGGTACCATGCATGTCTCCTAAGACCAGATACCTATGCACAATATATTATATAGTCACCTTTTGCTTTTGTGTGCAGAGGATGCATACACTGGCGTGAGGGCGACATGAAAGCAGGGGGTCACTGGGAATTCCGATCCTTGATTACTTTGTTGTAGGTCTGACCTACTAACCTCCCACCACAGAAGGAGCTGCATTTGCACTGTAGTCCTCAGGGCGGTGGTCTCACTGCAAACTGCAGAAATTCAGTTTGGCTGACTTGGCGGTGACTCTGACCCAAACCGCAAAACAAAACAAAAATTTAGTCTGAAGAACATGTTGAACAGCCGCTGCTTGGATGACGACTGCACCATAGCTTAGTTGTAGAGCATCGCTATCCATAAGCGAGGGTCCCTGGTTCCAGTCCTGGTGGTATCTCCATTGCACTTCTAAATATATTTGGCAAGCCAGTCTGATCGTTCACTATCGTTCTTTATTAAAATTATCAATTTAATATCTTCACATTAGTCTTGTTTGAGACAACTGAAGAGAAAGCAAAGTCAAGGGAATCGTCTCTGAAAACGACCGTGTGCTGTTCATTGCAGATAACAAGCGTCAAGTCGAATGGCGCTGCAGCTCAGTGCGGTATGAGCGAGCAAGCGGTGGGCTTGACTGGGGACTTGGTGTCGTGGATCATCAGTGAGGTGAACGGGCGGCCTGTCAGTCTGACGCCCCGCCACAAGGATGACGTAAGTTAGTTGTGCACACGTGCATTCGGTTGCCGTCGGCACACAGTCCTTGTCGATCAATTGCAAGTGAATGGGTAGATGTACACAATCGATTGTAGGTCGCACCCCCACTTCCATTTTTGAGCCATCTTGTCACACCTCCTTTGTTGGCAATGAAGTTTAGTGTAAAAAAGTGTGACTTATATTCGGGGAAATACCAGTACGGTATGTAAGTGAATGAAGTTTAGTGTAAAAAAGTGTGACTTACATTCGAGCAAATACAAGGGGTAGAATATATAGGATACGTTTTAATTGCATACCGTACTAGTCACGCACCCATGTACATACAAACACACAAGTGACGTGCATGGTGCTGGTCAGCTGTACACTGTGAGGCCGTGTCTTGCCTCAGTACAGTGTACACGCCTTCACACAAAATACCGTGTAAGTCAGAGCCAGAGGCCGGTGCGGGCTCTGCTCCAGGCTGTCATGCTGCAGATGGATACCTGGAAACCCCTTGTCTTCTTTCTGTGGTCCTTGCAGACCTACAAGCTACTGCATGCAACTGGGATGACTGTCCAGTTACTGCTGCAACCGGAGGACTTTGTCAAGCTGCTGTTCAAGAAGCTAAAGTCGACATACAAACAATACTCAGCATTCATTCCTGGCTAGTAACGTTTCACATTAATTTGAGGGTGTGCGTGCTGTGTACTTTTTAACGCAGTTCGGCGTTGTGCGTGTGACCCTGCCAGGGTTCTGGACTTGAGTCTCTTATCATTATGGAAAACTGCTTATGCTGTTTTGTTATCATGTATTGATTTCCTACCCTTCGACGACTTGAGCTTGTCAAAGCATTAGTAGGTTTAAAATATACATAATCCTCAGCATTCCGCGGCTGCCAGGAATGCTACACCACTCTTCAGTCTCCACTGGAATGATGTTAGGGTAATCTGGGAGTGGTAGAGCTATTGTATTGTGTGTGCTGGCATGCTATTAAAAGTAAGAACAATCAAATTGGTTGTCATTTTCTCGTGCGAGTAATAATGTTTTAACACACTTTTGATTGCACGTGCGACTGCTGTTGTTGCTGCTGCTGTTGAGGAGATAGTCACTAAGACGTCGGTCATGATTATTGCAACACATCGGTGGTGCTCTTTTGCAATGGCGGAACGTTTCTACCAACGCTCGGCACACCCGGGCTGTATCCAGTACAGCATGTGTGTGTGCGTGTGGATGTTGCATGCGTATTAATCACATGTACATGTATGCACAGTCCTGGAGTCGGTGCATGTGGTCTGTCTAGATTGTTCTGTACAGTTGAACATCGATTATCCGACCACCTCTGGGCAGACAACTGTCAGGCGGTGTTCAGATAAGGCAAATGTTCCGGATAAGAAACATGTACATGTACATGTACGACCTTTTTACTTTTCAAAATTTTCGTATTTTTTGAATGGCTCACTACATGCACAGTGCGTACTCTACGGCACGTGCGCCCAAAAAAACTGTTACGGATAATCGAATGGTCGGATAGTCGGTGTGCGGATAATCGATGTTCAACTGTATGTGTACCTTTGGCATGGGGTTGTACAGAACTTCTCAATGAAATCCGATCCCGTGAGCCCATGGGTCCAGTTCGTGCCCTGCACCAGTTTACGGCCCAGTGTTTGCAGGCCGAGGGCTGTACAGTACGGCCCAGCCCAGCGTGGCATTGACTCTCTGGAGGGGGGTGGGGATTTCATTGGGTAGCACTGTGCACTGCACGTAGACATGACATTGTAATAATTTATTACATGTATTACATGACATTTATAGAGTCGTATAAACTGTTTACTACTAGTATACGAAGCATCGGCCCCACCCTCCACAACTGTACAAAGTAGTGTAGCCCCCCCCCCCCCCCCCCGCATTTATAGAGTCGTATAAACTGTTTACTACTAGTATACGAAGCATCGGCCCCACCCTCCACAACTGTACAAAGTAGTGTAGCCCCCCCCCCCCCCCCCCCCCCGCGGCCAAGTACTTGTAGTACTAGTAGAATGGGGGGGGGGGGGGGAGAGAGAGGGGATCGGGCACGAGCTTCCTTTTTCCTTTGTCGCAGTAAGGGTAAAAAAAGCTGGCAAAGATCCGGCAATACAATAGCGCACGTCGCTAGCGCCATAATCGGTCCGAAAAAATAAATATCTTTTTGCGGACCAAATATGGCGTTGGGTTAGCATTAAAATTATTTTTTTAACACACACACACCATTTGACGGCACAAAACAGCAGGGCCGGCTATAGGGCAGCGATGAGACATAATCAGAGAGTCAAAGAAGTGAATGGAAGTAAATAGCTTGATATGAGCTGTGAAGGACAGGTGTTGGTCTCGCCAGATCTGTGCCAAACTAAAGTTTTTACTGAACGTTCGGGGTAAGCCAGAGAGAGATAGAGAGCCAGAGAGAGAGCCAGAGTGAGCGAGCCAGAGAGAGCGAGCCAGATAGAAAGCCTGAGAGACAGCCTGAGAAAGCCAGCGAGAGAGCCAGAGAAAGCTGGAAACCCCTCTTTGAGTTGGCCCAGTGGCATGCAGCGAGTCGCTCTGGCTCTGGTGCTCTGGCGCTCTGGCTCTGGCGCTCTGGCGCTATGGCTCTGGTGCTCAGGCTCTGGTACTCTGGCGTCCTGGCTCTGGCAGCGCTCTGGCGGCTCTGGCGGGACTTCCACTCTTCCGCTCTGGCGGCTCTGGCTGGGCCCTCTGGCTCTGTCACTCTGGCGCTTTGGCTCTGGCGCTCAGGCTCTGGCGCTCTGGCTTGGGCTCTCTGGCTCCTGCGATCTGGCTCTGGCGCTCTGGCTCTGGCGCTCTGGCTCTGACGCTCTGGCTCTGGTGTTCTGGCGCTCTGGCTCTGGCGTTCTGGCGACGCTCTGGGTCTGACGACGCTCTGGGTCCGGCAGTTCTCTGGGTCTCGCAGCGCTCTGGCTCTGGTAGCGCTCTGGCTCTGGCGGTGCTCTGTGGCTTGCAAGTTCTGGCACTCTGCCCCAGGCGCTCTGGCTCTGGCGCTCTGGTTCTGGTGCTCCTGCTCTGGCGCTCTGGCTTTGGTGTTCTGGCTCTGGCGCTTTGGTTCTGGCGCTTGGGTGCTCTGGCTCTGGCAGTCCTCTGGCGCTGTGGCGCACAGGCGGCTCTGCCTTTGGTGCTGGCTCTGTCGCTCTGGCGCTCTGGCTCCGTCGTTATGGCTCTGCCTCTGGCGTTCTGGCGCTTTGGCTCCGGCGCTCTCACGCTTTGGCTCTGGCTCTCTTGGCCTGGCGCTCCTGCTCTGGTGCTCTGGCTCCGGCTCTCTCGCCCTCTGGCTCTGGGGCTCTGGCTCTAGCAGGGCTCTGGCGCTTTGGCGCTCTGACTCTGGCGTCGGTCTGGCTGTGGCGGCGCTCTGGCTCTAGCGGCGCTCTGGCTGTGGCAGCGCTCTGGCTGTATCTGGCGGTCCTCTGGCTCCGGCGGCGCTCTGGCGCGCTAGTTCTGGCGCCCTGGCATTGTGGCTCTGGTGCTCTGGGTCTGGCGCTCTGGCTCTGGTATTGGCTGTGGCGCTCTGGGTCTGGCGCTCTCTGTCGCTCTGGCGTCCTGGTGCTTCGGCTCTGGTGAGCACCACGGGAGAACCAGAGAGCCAGCGCACCAGAGAGCCAGAGCGCCAGAGTGCCAGAGCGCCAGAGCCCCAGAGTGCCCCCAGAGCGCGGTCAAAGCGCAGAGAGTGCCACCAAAGCCAGAGCGCCGCCAGAGCCCAACAGAGCCAGTGCGCCAGAGCCAGAGAGTCAGAGCCAGAGCGCCAGAGCCAGAGCGCCAGCGCCAGAGCCAGAGCGCCGGAGCCAGAGAGCCAGAGCCAAAGTGCCAGATCTGTTGCTCTGGCTCAGGCGCTCTGGCGCCCTAGCTCTGGTGCTCAGACTCTGGCGGCCCTCTGGCGCTCTGGGTCAGGTGCTCTGGTTCTGGCGCTCTGGCTCTGGCGCTCTGGCTCTGGCGCTCTGGCTCTGGCGCTCTTGCTCTGGCGCCCTAGCTCCAGTGCTCTGGCGCTCATGCTCTGGCTCTGGCACACTGGCTCTGTGCGCTATGGCTCCAGCGCTCTGGCTCCGACACTCTGGCTCTGGCGTTCTGGCCCTCTGACTCTGGCCAGAGGGCCAGATCTGGACTCTGGCCAGAGGGCCAGATCTGGATCTCTGGCTCTGGCGCTCTAGCGCCCTGGCTCTGGTGCTCTGGCTCTGATCTGGACTCTGGCCAGAGGGCCAGATCTGGATCTCTGGCTCTGGCGCTCTAGCGCCCTGGCTCTGGTGCTCTGGCTCTGGTGGTGCTCTGGCTCTGGTGGCGCTCTGGCGCTTTGGCTCTGGCGCACTGGCTCAGGTGCTCTAGTTCTGGCGGCGCTCTGGTGCACTGGCTCAGGTGCTCTGGTTCTGGCGGCGCTCTGGCACTCTGGCGCAATGGCTCAGGTGCTCTGGTTCTGGCGCTCTGGCTCCGGCGCCCTGGCTCTGGCGCCCTGGTTCTGGCGCTCTGGCTCTCGCGCTCTGGCTCTCGCGCTCTGGCTCCCGAGCTCTGGCTCTGGCGCTCTGGCTCTGACGCTCTCCACTCTGGCTCTCGTGCTCTGGCTCCAGAGCTCTGGCTCCGGTGCTCTGGCTCTGACGCTCTGGTGTTCTGGCGTTCTGGCGCCCTGGCTCTGAGGCTCTGGCGGCACTCCTACCGCGCTCTTGCGGCTCTGGCTGCGCTCTGCATATGGCGGCGCTCTGGCGCACTGGCTCAGGTGCTCTGGTTCTGGCACTCTGGCTCCGGCGCCCTGGCTCTGGCGCCTGGCTCTGGCACCCTGGCTCTGTCTCGCAGCGCTCTAGCTCTGGTGGCGCTCTGGCTCTGGTGGTGCTCTGTGGCTTGCAAGTTCCTGCACTCTGCCTCAGGCGCTCTGGCTCTGGCGCTCTGGTTCTGGTGCTCTGGCGCTCCTGCTCTGGCGCTCTGGCTCTGACGCTCTGGCGTTCTGGCGCTCTGGCTCTGGCGCTCAGGCTCTGGTGGCGCTCTGGCTCTGGCGGTGCTCTGTGGCTTGCAAGTTCTGGCACTCCGCCTCAGGCGCTCTGGCTCTGGCGCTCCTGCTCTGGCTCTGGCGCTCTGGCTTTGGTGTTCTGGTTCTGGCGCTTTGGTTCTGGCGCTTGGGCGCTCTGGCTCTGGCAATCCTCTGGCGGTGCTCTGTGGCTCGGGTCGGCACTATGACGCTCTGACTCTGGCACCCTGCCTCTGGCGCTCAGGCTCTGGCGCTCAGGCTCTGGCGCTCTGGCTCTGGCGCTCTGGCTCTGGCGCTCTGCACTTTGGCTCCGGCGCTCTCACGTTTTGGCTCTGGCTCTCTTGGCCTGGCGCTCTTGCTCTGGTGCTCTGGCTCTGGCTCTCTGGCTCTGGATGTCTGGCTCTAGCAGGGCTCTGGCGCTTTGGCGCTCTGACTCTGGCGTCAGTCTGGCTGTGGCGGCGCTCTGGCTCTAGCGGTGCTCTTGCTGTGGCAGCGCTCTGGCTCTAGGGGAGCTCTGTATCTGGCTGTCCTCTGGCTCCAGCGACGCTCTGGCTCGGGGCCATGGCGCTTTCGCGCCCTAGCTCAGGCTCTGGGTCCGGCTCTGGTCCAGCTCTGGTGATCTGGCTCTGGCGCTCTGGCTCTGGCGCTCCAGCTCTGGCGCTCCAGCTCTGGCGCTCTGGCTCTGGCGCTCCCCCTCAGGCGCTCCGCCTCTGGCGCTCTGGCCCTGCTGATTTGGCCCTGCAGCTCTGGCTCTGCTGCTCTGACGCTCTGGATCTGCCTGGCGCTCTGACTCTGGCGCTCTGGCGCTATAGCTCTGGTGCTGGCGCTCTGGGCTCTGGTGGTCTGGCTCTGGAGCTCCAACTTAGGCTCTCTGGCTTTGGCTCCCTGGCTCTGCGGCTCTGGCACTCTGGCGCTATGGCTCTCTGGCTCTGGCTCTGGCGCTCTGGCTCTGGGGGGGGGGGGGGGGGGGGGGGGGGGGGGGGAGGGGGGGGGGCTGCCTCTGGCGCTCTGGCTCTGGCGCTCTGGCTATGTCTCTGGCGCTTTGCTCTGGCCAATCTGGCGCTCTGGCTCTGGCGCTATGGCCCTGGCGCCGCTCTGGCTCTGCTGCATTGCTACTCTGGCTCTGCCTGGCGCACTGACTCTGGCGCTCTGGCGCTCCGGCTCTGGCGCTCTTGCTCTGGCGCTCTTGCTCTGGCGCTCTTGCTCTGGCGCTCTTGCTCTGGCGCTCTGGCCCTGCCGCTCTGTCTCTGCCGCTCTGGCTCTGCCGCTCTGGCTCTGCTGCTCTGGCTCTCATGCTATGGCTCTGCCACTCTAGCTCTTGATCCGGCTCTTTAGCTTTCTCTGGCTCTGGCGGTCTGGATCTGGCTCTGGCGCTCTGGCTCTGGCGCTCTGCTCTGGCGCTCTGCTCTGGCGCTCTGGCTCTGGCGCTCTGGCTCTGGCGCTATAGCTCTGGTGCTGGCGCTCTGGGCTGTGGTGCTCTGGCTCTGGGGCTCCAACTTAGGATCTCTGGCTCTGGCTTTGGCTCTCTGGCTCTGCTGCTTTGGCATTGGCGCTATGGCTCTCTTGCTCTGGCTCTGGCGCTCTGGCTTTCTGGCTCTGGCGCTCTGGCTTGCGAGCTGGAACTGGCGCTGTGGCTCTAGCGGGCTGGAACTGGCCCTGTGGCTCTTGCGTGGCGCTTTTGCTGGCGCTCTGAGCTGTGGTGCTCTGGCTCTGGGGCTCCAACTTAGGCTCTGGCTCTGGCTTTGGCGCTCTGGCTCTGCTGCTTTGGCGCTCTGGCTCTGCTGCTTTGGCGCTGGTGCTATGGCTCTCTTGCTCTGGCTCTCTTGCTCTGGCTCTGGCGCTCTGGCTCTCTGGCTCTGGCGCTCTGGCTCTTGTGGGCTGGAACTGGCGCTGTGGCTCTTGCGCTGTGGCTCTGGCGCTGGTGCTATGGCTCTGGCCTTTGCTCTGGCTCTGGTGCTCTGGCTCTGGTGCTCCGGCTCTGGCGCTCCGGCTCTGGCGCTCCGGCTCTGGCGCTCCTGCTCTGGCGCTCCAGCTCTGGGTCTGGCGCTCTGGCTCTGGCGCTCCAGCTCTGGTGCTCCCGTTCTGGTGCTCCCGCTCTGGCGTTCCAGCTCTGGCGCTCCGGCCCTGCCGCTCTGGTTCTGCCGCTCTGGCTCTGCCGCACTGGCTCTGCTGCGCTGGCTCTGCTGCTTTGGCTCCGCTGCTCTGGCCTTTCTGCTCTGGCTCTCTGTTATGGCTTTGCCACTCGTGTCACTGGCTCTGCTGCGCTGGCTCTGCTGCTCTGGCTCCGCTGCTCTGGCCCTGCTGCTCTGGCTCTCGTGTTATGGCTTTGCCACTCCCCTGCCGCACTGGCTCTGCTGCGCTGGCTCTGCTGCTCTTGTGTTATGGCTTTGCCACTCTCTGCTGCTCTGGCTCCGCTGCTCTGGCCCTGCTGCACTGGCTCTCGTGTTATGGCTTTGCCACTCTAGCTCTGGATCTGGCTCAGCTGCTCTGGTTCTGGCAACGCTCTGGCTCTGGCGCTCCTGCTCTGGCGCTCTGGCTCTGACTCTGGCGCTCTGGCTCTGGCGCTCCAGCTCTGGCGCTCTGACTCTGGCGCTCTGACTCTGGCGCTCTGACTCTGGCGCTTTGGCGCTCTGGCCCTGCTCCTCTGGCCCTGCCACTCTGACTCTGCCGCTCAGGCTCTGCCCCTTTGGCTCTGCTGCTATGGCTCTGCCACTCTGTCTCTGGATCTGGCTCTGTCACTCTGGCTCTGACACTAGGGCTCTGGTGCTCTGACTCTGGCGCTCTGGCTCTGGCGCTCTGGCTCTGGCGCTCTGACTCTTGAGCTCCAGCTCTGGCTCTGGCGCTCTGACCCTGCTGCTCTGGCCCTGGGGCTCTGGCTCTGGTGCTCTTGCTCTGCTGCTCTGGCTCTGCTGCTCTGGCTCTGCTGCTCTGGCTTTACCACTCTGGCTTGGATCTGGCTCTGCCACTCTGGCTCTGGCACTGGGGGGGGGGGGGGGGGCTCTGGTGCTCTGGCTCTCTGGCTCTGGCGCTCTGGATCTGGCTTTGGCTCTGGTGATCTGGCTCTGGCGCTCTGGCTCTGGCGCTCTGGCTCTGGCGCTCTGGGGCTCTGGCTCTGCTGCTCTGTTATGGCTTTGCCACTCTAGCTCTGGATCTGGCTTAGCTGCTCTGGCTCTGGCGCTCTGGCTCTGGCGCTCTGGCTCTGGCGCTCTGGCTCTGGCGCTCTGGCTCTGGCGCTCTGGCTCTGGCGCTCTGGCTCTGGCGCTCTGGCTCTGGCGCTCTGGCTCTGGCTCTGGCGCTCTGGCTCTGGCTCTCTGACTCTTGCGCTCCTGCTCTGGCATTCCAGCTCTGGCGCTCCAGCTCTGGCGCTCTGGCTCTGGCCCTGCTCCTCTGGCCCTGCCACTCTGGCCCTGCCACTCTGGCTCTGCCGCTCTGGCTCTGCTGCTCTGGCTCTGCTGGTCTGGCTCTGCTGCTATGGCTCTGCCACTCTGGCTCTGGATCTGGCTCTGCCACTCTGGCTCTGGCACTAGGGCTCTGGTGCTCTGACTCTGGCGCTCTGGCTCTGGTGCTATGGCTCTGGCGCTCTGGCTCTGGCGCTCCTGCTCTGTTGCTCCAGCTCTGGCGCTCTGGCTCTGGCTCTGCGGCTATGGCTCTGCTGCTATGGCTCTGCCACTCTGGCTCTGGATCTGGCTTTGCCACTCTGGCTCAGGAACTAGCTCTGCCCTGGCTCTCTGGGTCTGGCGCTCTGGATCTGGTTTGGCTTTGGTGATCTGGCTCTGGCGCTCTGGCTCTGGCGCTCTGGCTCTGGCGCTCTGGCTCTGGCGCTCTGGCTCTGCAGCTCTGGCTCTGTGGCTCTGGCTGTGGGGCTCTGGCTATGGTGCTCTGGCTCTGCAGCTGCTCTGGGTCTGCAGCTCTGCCTTTGCTGCTCTGGCTCTGCTGCTCTGGCTCTGCTGCTCTGGCACTTTAGCTCTGGCACTATGGCTCTGGCTCTGGCGCTCTGGCTCTGTTTGCGCTCTGACTCTGGCGCTCAGGCTCTGGCACTGGCGCTCTGGCACCAGCGCTTTGGCTCCTGCGCTCTGGCTCCAGCGCTCTGGCTTGAGCGCTCCTGCTCTGGCGCTGGGGGGGGGGGGGGGGGGGGGCTCTGGCGCTCGGGCTCTGCCGCTCTGGCCCTGCTGCTCTGTCTCTGCCGCTCTGGCTCTCCTGCTCTGGCTCTCATGCTATGGCACTGCCACTCTAGCTCTGGATCCGGCTCTTTAGCTCTGGCTCTGGCACTATGGCTCTGGTGATCTGGCTCTGGCACTGGCTCTCTGGCTCTGGCGGTCAGGATCTGGCTCTGGTGATCTGGCTCTGGCGCTCTGGCTCTGGCACTCTGGCTCTGCTGCTCTGCTCTGGCGCTCTGGCTCTGGCGCTCTGGCTCTGGCGCTCTGGCTCTGGCGCTCTGGCTCTGGCGCTCTGGCTCTGGCGCTCTGGCTCTGGCGCTCTGGCTCTGGCGCTCTGGCTCTGGCGCTCTGGTGCTATAGCTCTGGTGCTGGCGCTCTGGGCTGTGGTGCTCTGGCTCTGGGGCTCCAACTTAGGTTCTCTGGCTCTGGCTTTGGCGCTCTGGCTCTGCTGCTTTGGCGCTGGCGGTATGGCTCTCTTGCTCTGGCTCTGGCGCTCTGGCTCTCTGGCTCTGGCGCTCTGGCTCTCTGGCTCTTGCGCTGTGGCCCTTGCGCTGTGGCTCTGGCGTTCTGGCTCTGGTGCTATGGCTCTGGCGCTTTGCTTTGGCTCTCTGGCTCTCTGGCGCTCTCGCTCTGGCGCTCTGGCGCTAGGCTCTGGCGCTCCAGTCCTGGCGCTCCAGCCCTGGCGCTCCGGCTCTGCCGCTCCTGCTCTGCCGCTCCTGCTCTGCCGCTCCTGCTCTGCCGCTCCTGCTCTGCCGCTCCTGCTCTGCCGCTCCTGCTCTGCCGCTCCGGCTCTGCCGCTCCGGCTCTGCCGCTCCGGCTCTGCCGCTCCGGCTCTGCCGCTCCGGCTCTGCCGCTCTGGCTCTCCCGCTCCCGCTCTGGCTCTGCCGCTCTGGCTCTGCCGCTCTGGCTCTGCCGCTCTGGCTCTGCCGCTCTGGCTCTGTCGCTTTGCTCTGGCTCTCGTGTTATGGCTTTGCCACTCTAGCTCTGGATCTGGCTCAGCTGCTCTGGCTCTGGCGCTCTGGCTCTGGCGCTCTGGCGCTCTGACTCTTGCACTCCTGCTCTGGCGCTCCAGCTCTGGCGCTCTGGCTCTGGCGCTCTTGCCCTGCTGCTCTGGCCCTGCCACTCTGGCTCTGCCGCTCTGGCTCTGCCGCTCTGGCTCTGCCGCTCTGGCTCTGCCGCTCTGGCTCTGCCGCTCTGGCTCTGCCGCTCTGGCTCTGCCGCTCTGGCTCTGCCGCTCTGGCTCTGCTGCTCTGGCTCTGCCGCTCTGGCTCTGCTGCTCTGGCTCTGCCGCTCTGGCTCTGCTGCTCTGGCTCTGGGGCTCTGCTGCTATGGCTCTGCCACTCTGGCTCTGGATCTGGCTCTGCCGCTCTGGCTCTGGCACTAGGGCTCTGGCGCTGGCTCTCTCTGCTCTGGCTCTTGTGTTATGGCTTTGCCTCTGGCTCTCGCGCTCTGACTCTTGCGCTCCTGCTCTGGCGCTCCAGCTCTGGCGCTCCAGCTCTGGCGCTCCAGCTCTGGCGCTCAAGCTCTGGCGCTCCAGCTCTGGCGCTCCAGCTCTGGCGCTCCAGCTCTGGCGCTCCAGAGCACCAGAGCCAGAGCGCCAGAGCCAGAGGCAGAGCACCAGATTGGCCAGAGCAAAGCGCCAGAGCCATAGCCAGAGCCATAGCCAGAGCGCAAGAGCCAGAGCCACAGCGCCAGATTGGCCAGAGCAAAGCGCCAGAGCCATAGCACAAGAGTCAGAGCGCCAGAGCCAGAGCACCAGGGCCAGCCCGCCAGAGCCAGAGCCCAAGCAGCAGAGCCAGAGAGCCAAAGCCAGAGAGCCTAAGTTGTAGCTCCAGAGCCAGACCACCAGAGCTCCAGCACCAGAGCTATAGCGCCAGAGACAGAGCGTCAGAGCCAGAGCCCTAGAGCCAGAGCCAGAGCGCCTAAGCTGGAGCTCCAGAGCCCAAGCGCCAGAGCGCCTGAGCCAGAGCACCAGAGCCAGAGCCATAGCGACAGAGCAGCAGAGCCAGAGCAGCAGAACCAGAGGGGCAGAGCCAGAGCAGCATAGCCAGAGCCGCAGAGCCAGAGAGGCAGAGCCAGAGCCGCAGAGCCAGAGCGCCAGAGCCAGAGAGCAAGAGCCAGAGCGCCAGAGCCAGAGCGCCAGAGCCAGAGCCAGAGCGCCAGATCCAGAGCGCCAGAGCCAGAGCGCCAGATTGGCCAGAGCAAAGCCCCAGAGCCACAGCACCAGAGCCAAGAGCACCAGAACCAGAGCTATACCGCCAGAGCCAGAGCGCCAGATTGGCAAGAGCAAAGCACCAGAGCCAGAGCCAGAGCGCCAGAGCCAGATCGCCAGAGCTAGAGCCAGAGAGCCATCACCAGAGAGCCATCACCAGAGCGCCATCACCAGAGCCAGAGCGCCTGAGCCAGAGCACTAGAGCCAGAGCCAGAGCCCAAGTTTGAGCTCCAGAGCCAGAGCACGACAGCCCAGAGTGCCGGAGCCAGAGCGCAGGAGCCAGGGCGCTGGAGCCAGAGCGCCGAGCCAGAGCTCTGGACCCAGAGCGCCGGACCCAGAGCGCCAGAGCATGAGCGCTGGAGCCAGAGCGCTGGAGCCAGTGCGCTGGACCCAGAGCGCCAGAGCTGTAGTGGTAGAGCGCCAGAGCGCCAGAGCCAGAGCGCCATAGCCAGAGCGCCATAGCCAGAGCCATAGCAAGGAGCCAGAGCACCAGAGCCAGAGCGTCATAGCCAGAGCCATAGCACTGAAGCCAGAGCGCTGGAGCCAGAGCGCTAGAGCCAGAGCGCTGGAGCCAGAGCGAGAGCGCTGGAGCCAGAGCGAGAGCGCTGGAGCCAAAGCGAGAGCGCCCGAGCCAGAGCGCCGGAGCCAGAGCGCTGCAGCCAGAGCGCCAGAGCCAGAGCAAAGCGCCAGAGCCATAGCACCAGAGCCAGAGCGGCAGAGCCAGAGCGGCAGAGCCAGAGCGGCAGAGCCAGAGCGGCAGAGCCAGAGCGGCAGAGCCAGAGCGGCAGACCATCAGAACCAGAGCTGCAGAGCCAGAGCGGCAGAGCTAGAGCGGCAGAGCCAAAATCGCCAGACTCAGAGCCAGATCCAGAGCGCCAGAGCCAAAAAGCCTGCGCCAGAGCCAGAGAACCAGAGCCATAGTGCCAGAGCCAGAGCAGCAAAGCCAAATCCAGAGCAAGAGTGGCAAAGCCATAGCACGAGAACCAGAGCAGCACAGCACGGCAGAGGCAGAGCCGCAGAACAAGAGCGACTGAGCCACAGAGCCAGAGCGCCAGAACCAGCGCAGCAGGGCCAGAGCGCCAGAGCAAGAGCGCCAGAGCTGGAGCGCCAGAGCTGGAGCGCCAGAGCTGCAGCGCCAGAGCCAGAGCGCCAGAGCCAGAGCGCAAGAACCAGAGCGCAAGAGCCAGAGCGCAAGAGCCAGAGCGCCCCAGCCAGAGCCCTGGAGCCAGAGCGCTGCAGCCAGAGCGCCAGATTGGCCAGAGCAAAGCGCCATAACCATAGCCAGAGCGCAAGAGGCAGAGCGCCAGAGTGCCAGATTGGCCAGAGCAAAGCACCAGAGCCATAGCACCTGAGCCAGAGCGCCACAGCCAGAGCGCCACAGCCAGAGCACCAGAGCCAGGGCAGAAGAGCCAGGGCAGAAGAGCCAGGGCAGAAGAGCCAGCGCCAAAGGCAGAGGAGGAGAGCCAGGGCGGCAGAGCCAGAGCGGCAGAGCCAGA